TCAAACAACACTACAGAGCAAAGTTACCCAAAATGGTAGCAATCCATCCACTAGTTGCTGAGAAATCTAAAGAATATGTAAAGAAGTGATTAAAATGCAATAACCAACAACTTTTACCTCCAAATTATTAGCACATTAGCGCATAGAACATAGGGATAGTCGCCATTTTTCAACTTTCAGTTTCGAAACGATAATTTCATGCATCTTTTTGCGTATAGCAGTCGTAGGCTGTCCTTCGTTAAATATAATATACGGGAATGGACCTAAGGAAACAAAGAACTCTAGGAACTACTAATTTTTAACAGTGGACGTGTCTTGAAGAAGAAATCGACTCAAGTTCTGCTGTGCATTGTTACGCTTCGTTAAGCTCTGTTACACATTGGAAAATGTCGAGATCGCCGATTTCATGCCGCTTTTGATCCACAGGCTATAAAAAGATGCAGCAGATCCTTAAAATCATTGCATCTTTGACTCTAGAACACAATGACAGAGCAACAAGATTCAGAAGCTCCAGATGTACCAGAGCATGATCTATCTGAAGAAGACATGATGTTAAGCTATGTTCACACCAACGGCATATGCCACGCTTGAAATCGGTGAGCAAAGCGCCGTCATTTTTGTTTACTTTTCCAAAAATATCACGATCTCCTAAGTAATGTTACGCTCTGATAAGCTCTGATACGCTCTGATTCCCCGACTTGTTACGGTTCCTCACGCTTTGATCCCGCTTCGACAAGGCTTTGTTACGCTTGAAATCACGCTTTGAGAAGCTTTACTACGCTTTGATGCGATTATGAGGCTTTAAATCAGGCTCTGATACGATTGCCAAGCTCTGTTGTGCATTGTTACGCTCTGTTAGCTCTGTCACGCATTGGAACATGTCGAGATCGCCAATTTCATGCCGCTTTTGATCCGATGAAAATTAAATTAAATTTTACACCAAATCACTAGTCAATATGTCCTCCCGGGCCATCTTAACAGCAGGAATTCTTTTCGGGTCAGAGGGATATTGAGTTGGAAAAAGAGAACGGTGCAAGTGAGGGTAGAAACTCAAACGAAACTCATCTAAAGTCCCTTAACAGGTGTTAAGAGGGTTAAGTTCCACAACCCTATTTGAAGGGCTTTTAAGGTCCTGTCTGAAAATAATTGCTGCTGTTAACATGGCCAAGGGGGGACACATTGGCTATTAATGTGGTGTAAAATTGAACTTTATTTTGACAAAAACTAACTTTTAAAATGATTTTAACTTTTAAACCATGATACTTGGCAAATCAATGTAACTTTGGATAAGCTTTAAAATGATGTATGACACATACGATGAGTACCATGAGGAGACTGGAATATGTCTGCCTAGGGGAGGGGGCATACTTTCGGGACACCCTGTATATAAAGATGCAGTAGATCCATTGCATCTTTGACTCGAGAACACGATATGGCTGAACAACAAGATCCAGAAGCTCCAGATGGACCAGAGCATGACCTATCTGAAGATGACATGATGTTTGTCGCCTAGCGTGAAAGAGCGTGAGAGAGCGTGGGGAAGCTTGTCAAGCGTAACAAAGCCTAGTAACAAATCGTTCAATCCTTGCTAAAGCGTCTCAATTCGTTGGAAAGCTTGAGAGTCCTTCATGAAAGCGTAACAAAGAGTTTAAGATATTGATGAAAGCGTCTGACCTCGTGTCAGATCTTCATGCCAGATCGTAGCAAATCTTGAGACATTTTAACGAAGCGTACCAAGTGGTAACAGACCGTGAAGAGACTGGGGTCCGCTTTGAACCAAGCTCTGTTAAGCTTTCCTACGCTTTGGGCCAAGCTTTGCTGAGCTTTGTTATGGTTTGTTAAGCTTTGATACGCTCTCGGCGCTTTAATCAATTCGTAACAGAGCGCCCACATTTTTTAAATAGTTTAAAAAATTTTGGCGCTCTTGCCGAAAATCCCGCTTTACTCCGAGTTTTTCTACGACCTATTACGACCCCGACGCTTTAATCAAGATTTGTTACGCTTTGGTGTCGTTTGGCAAGCCGCTTTAAAGCGCCATCAAAGCGCTGTTGGTGTGAACGTAGCTTTATCGCCATTCGTGAAAGAGCGTGAGAGAGCGTGAGGAAGCTTGCCAAGCGTAACAGAGCCTAACAAAGCATGTCAATCCTTTATCAAAGCGTCTCAATTCGTGGAAAAGCGTGAGTTTCTTTAACATTTAACTTTCTTATGAGTAGAAGCTTGACCTTTAACTGAGTCATTCTGTAATTTTCCTATTTGTCTTACATATGATCATTGGGTCTATCCATATAAACACGCGGTCCCCTCAACATGTTCGATTCTCCAAAGCAAATCTGAGGTACCCTTGCCCATGCGCACATGCATTGTAATATCACACTAATTCCATCAATTATTTTGGCAGAAGTTCATTTAGGTCAGTTTTTGATGCTGTAAAGCGCATTCAGAGGCCCTTCAAAAAATCAAGGGTGTAAAGTGGGATGACCCTGGGGGCCAATCCATTGGGTAATTCAATGCTATCTTCTGATTTCCAAAGAGTTATACCAAACGATCTGCCACAGGCCTTTGCACCATCCTGTTGCCATCATACGTAAAAAATTGAACACTCTGACAATGAAATCTTGCACTTCTATCTAGGAAAAAAACAACTGGATCATTGATCATATCAAGATATCACTGACCACAGCATTCACACCAAAAAATAATTGATCACATGTCCAACCACTGAGAAGTTGGCGCAAATCAGATTTCACACGTGTCTATAAAATTTGTCCTATACAGCCAATCATGGACGGATTTTCAATCTGATGGTGTGGATTTATTTGAGAAAGATTGGTCTTTTGATATCTAAGTATATTTAAGAGGAAAAGTCAAAATCATGAAAGATATTGAACTTTTTGTAAGAGTAACATTTTTTGAGACACACTGTAGAGTAAATACAATTTTAAATAAAAAACATTACACTGGCCGGGATTCGAGCCCCGACAGCGTACCTGGCAGGCGAGCAGTCTACAACTGAAACATCAGGACTTTAATGTCAACTTAAAGTATGATTTATATAAATTGTGATATATTTTCATATCAGTTTTGAATCAAAAAATATTACACTAGGAGAATTGAACCATGGCCATCTGCATGTCAGGCAATGATTCTACCACTGAACCAAGAGAGCTTTCACTGAGGTACACTCCCCTCCATAAGTTTGGCAACCCTCTCTCGTGTTAAAGCCTCTTTTTGTTTGAATTTTTATTTACATAACCTGTGAAGAAAATACTTATAATATTGATGAGAATGTAACTTGACTTCATTTCTAATGCCTCCAAATTCCCAAATTTTTTCCTTAATTACAATAGGTCGGAAATTGATGATAAATTTGATGAATTTTTGAAAATGGTCATTCCCATGTAAACCAAAGGGAAAATTATGTGACTGAGATATATCAAACATCCCGCTTTCAAGAGTTGGTCGAACATACATTTCAAAACACGCTAAAAATTATCAAATTGAACGCAATCGATACATTATAGGTTAAGAAATGGTTTATATTTGCCGAAAAATACAGGGTGGTCCAAAAAATTGGCTAGAGACCCTTATTACCTGCAAGAATCCTTTCATATTTTCACATTTTGTAGAAGAAGGTCTTAACTTTTTTTTTGTACCATACATTTTTCTTAGTCTTGAAATCTGCAGAAATTATAACCCCTAACCAAACATTACTGAAAATCGATAAAATGTGAACTTCAACATTTATGACTCTTCAACCCTTCAATAATCTTCCTGAGGAAATGGTCAATAAACGTGTAAATATGTTTTCTGCCCAAAAAGAGTCCCATTTGTCACATGGTATGGTTTAAACTTATATCTCTCACTATAAGCCTTTTTAAGACCACCCAAAGTGTTTCAACAATTTCCGTGAATCACATTGGTAAAATTTTGTACAATATCTAATTTTAGGCATTTTTTGTTTAAAGTGTCTCACATATTCGATCAAAACTTGCCATGCAAACATGTTAGTCTACTTTACTGGCCCCCCTTGCTGTAACAAGGAACCCAAAACACATTAAAACGTAAACATAAACCAATTAGTCACTTCACTATGAAAGTGAGGGGTGTTGCTGTGTGCATGGACTAACACAATATCAGTGGTCATTTACTGTGTCAACTTAGTAACCCTTGCATATCGTGCTCACTCAAGTATTGAATAATTTTTTATGATCTAATTGTTTGTGGTTTATAAAAAAGTGATATATTTTAGTTAGAAATACATCAATTAATATATTCATTCAAACAGCACTAGAATGTGGGAAGAAAGAGCAATGGTGACAAAATGCAGACAGAATTTTCCGTAAGGGTTTCAAACATTTCTGAACACAATCATACATGTACTTCATGTGTACTGTTATTTTTAGTGCTGTATTTATAGATATAATTTCACTATTAAAATCATATTTTCCAGCAATGACTTCAAATTCGGAACCATACCCATACCACATGTTCTTCAATAACTCCAAACATGTGTAAACATTGACCATGTGCATATAAATTCAGATTTCACGAGCTCTTTCCTATTCGAGTACCTCATACACCCCTGCATGGATTTGAGTTGGATTCGCCCTTTATACGTGAGCCGACACACTCGCAAACGCTGATTGGATAAAGATTGCGAGAATCTTTAAGTCTTGTAATTTCTTCAAAATTCAAGACTGAGAATTAATTATCCCATCAAGAGAAATTTTAATTTCAAAAGGGCGTAAATTTGTTTTTTAATAAATATTATTGTTTTAAATTTGAAACTGTATTAACAATATCTAACGATTTCACATATATTTCCTGTTTTCACCCTGACCCCCAGGGGCCGTGAATAGGGGTCGGGAAAACAGGAGTTTTCATTAATTTTGAGATCTTTCTGAAGTATATCTTTATTATACTCAAATGAAAGGCAATTTAGAATCTAGATGGTCTAGATAGGTTTAAATTATTCACTCATATAAGTCACATAAATATGTGCTGGATGTATAATATATATATTTCCGAAATTCTAGTCCATCACATCTTTAATACTGAAATATGAAGGGGTCATCTACACTAAGCATGCTCTAAACACCAATAAGTGGTGGCGATGGTGGCGGTCCTCCAAACACCCAATCGACAGCACCTTGAGTGGTCGGTGGGAAGTAACACACAAGAACCTATAATACATAATTCGAAATAGGTACCCGCTTTCTTTTATAAAGTGGATGTCTGAATTTTGTTCGAATTGAGAGGTATGTTTTATTCACAGAATGATTTGAGCGTTCGAATTTGTTTAATGAATGATTAAGTGCGAAATAAACAAAATTGTACAAACGACACTCACATCGGTGATAAATACAGGGGATATTCCAAACTGCAGGGGAAGTTTTGTACCCTCAAGTGCCCCTAAAATTAAGAAAATGTAGATAAATGATTACAAGTGGTATGTATGAACTGTAATGCTCATATAATCCCTTCCCCTATTCAAACAACTGAACATTTTGAATATATTTGAAATTAATAAGCAGTTGAAATGCATTTTCATGTACAAATGGATAAATAAACTCCATAATTATCATAAAATTTTTCCAAACCTTTTCAGTACCATCCAAGAGAGACATGTTTACAACACCCGAAATAGGGTAAACTATGACAAACCCAAAATTCGAACAAATTATGGTAAAGCTTTGATATCTTTTACTGCACCATCAATTTGGAATTCATTACCTATTGAAATAACATCATCTGGAAGTATTTTTATTATGAAAAAAGAATTGAAAAAATATTTTATCAATCAATAACCAGAACAACGGCAACGCCAAAGCGTAGCGAATCCCATCGAACAGAAATGGCTGGCATTTTTACAAACGAAATATATAGCAAATATCAAAAAACATACCAGAAAGGCCATCATTTTCAAAATGGTTGCTCACTAGCCAAGTTGTCATCAGAAGAAATAATATGGTTTTAAGTAGCCACCTATAAAATTTTTGAAAAATCGCACACATGTACTTGTAAAATAACACACATAAAAATGGTGGCCATTTTTCAAAATGGCCGACTACTCCCCAAAGTTTTATTAGACAATGTGCCATGCTTAGAGTATTCACATATCAAATATGAACAAAATCGCTCCACTACTTTTCGAGTACTAGTAAAAAATGGTGGCCATTTTTCAAAATGGCCGCCTACTACCTAAAGTGTCAATAGACAGTGTGCCATGCTTTTAGTATTCACATACCAAATATAAACAAAATCGCTCCACTACTTTTCGAGTTATAGTAAAATACGTTAAAAAGGTGGCCATTTTTCAAAATGGCCACCTTCTACCAAAAGTGTCACAGGACAGTGTGCCATGCTTATAGTATTCACATACCAAATATGAACAAAATCGCTCCACTACTTTTCGAGTTATAGTAAAATACGTTAAAATGGCGGCCATTTTTCAAAATGGCCGCCTTCTACCAAAAGTGTCTTAAAACAGTGTGCAATGTTTATAGTATTCACATACCAAATATGAACAAAATCGCTCAACCACTTTTCGAGTTACAGCAAAAATCGTAAAATAATGAGTAAAGGCCGCCATTTTTCAAGATGGCTGCCATGTGCTTTTTTAATATCTACATTTGTAGCTTTATTAATGTCCTTTATAATTTTTTTACACTAAAAACATATTGCTATTACAGTTTTACATATTGCACCTAAATTACTGTAAAATCGGCACTAAAATGGCCGCCATTTTGAAATGAGTGGCCATTTTGAAAATTGGCTTTCGAGCAGAACTTCTACTCCCATAGGGTATATGTGTACAAAATATGAACAAAATCGGGCCAACGGTATTTGAGTTATTGCCCGGACGTACGTACGGACGGACGGAGGCGTTCCCTATATCCCTCCGAACTTCGTTCGATGGGATAATAATATCAATTTCAGATAACCATAGTGGGCAATATATGACACATTCTTAGTCAGACATAGATAGTAGCATTCATCACACAAGCAGATCCCCAATCTGTACATTTCATGTTTGATGATAAACACGGGAATATACACGTGAAGTGTCACCCGTTTACTGTACATTTGATGTTGAAATATATATGAATAAATAATAAATAAAAAATAATAATAAAAAAATGAGTTGCAATAGGGAAACATTCAAACGTTTATCATCCCCCTATTAAATGGCATCAAAAAGTACTTTTATTCTCAGATTGTGAGACATGATCTCACATTTATATCAGTAATGTATCCCTGCACGGTTGTTTAGGCTCTTTGCCGTAAATCGACTATAAGGAGTACTAGAGACGAATGAACTATCTTTACTCGGTTTGTTTATTACGTGATATGAGGAAAGAAGTTATATTAAAAACCTGTTTCTATACTACATTTGCAGCCATAACTGGGAGACATGTGATCATAATTCATACGCCAAAATATTTGGGGTTGTTTTCTGCGGATGGATGTACTTGGTAGATATGCATTGGTCAATATGGGGACACACAACTTATTAATCCTTCCGCCGAGTGGGAAGATCCTTCCGCCGAGTGGGAAGACGAATAGATGGCATTTTAAAAACAAGAATATAGTCCAATTATTGTAATTATATTACCATCACCAGTGGTTGGATTTTGGTAAGTACATGAATGAAAAAGTGTATGTATGGACCAACTCTAACACATGATTTGATGTGATTGATGTGCATTTTCTTTAAAGTGTCTCACATATTCGATCAAAATTTGCCATGCAAACATGTTAGTCTACTTTACTGCCCCCCCCCCTTGCTGTAACAAGGAACACAAAACACATTAAAACGTAAACATAAACCAAATAGTCAGACGATCACTTCACTATGAAAGTTAGGGGTCACGCAGAGCTGTCAAGTGTCCCGCGAATGGCGGGATTATCCCGCGAATTCGATCAAAATTAGGCTAATTCGCGTGTCCCGCAATGTCCCGCGAAGTCCCGCAAATGTGGCTTTCGACCTCCGCGAATTTCCGAAATTGTTGCAATCCCCTATATTGTGATTATTTTATCTTATATAAGAAGCTAAGTTTTTGCACTTTTGAGGAGTAAAGTTTACCTAATTTTAAGTACCTAGCATGCTGTTGTTTGGTATCAAAATAAAGAGGAAGGGTTCAACTTTCATTTTAATTACGACAATAGGGATGTAGGTCACAAATAGTTCCAACGTTGGCCTTTTTACTATCCGTGTGGCCTTCATCTCAGAACTGAGCAAATGTTAGCAAACGCGAGTTACAATAAATGGACGCTGATATCTAGAAAGGGTTTGTAGAAAAAACCGGGTATCGGGTAGTAAATCCTCCATGCTGGGTTCAAACTTGGTACCCGGTACCCGGTCAAAAAACGGGTACCCAAAAAACAAAAAATACGAATATACGAGTATAACATAATAGATTATCAGAAAACGTGTAAGATTTGTTTTGAATTTACAAAAATGTATGTAACATCCTTCAAAATTGAGCTAGAAGCTTCAAATAAAAAGCATATTTTAAGGCTCTTTTCTTCCTCTATCGTCATGACCATATTTTCATTGGTTATGGGGGGGGTGCGATCGCACCATCGCACCCTCTCCTGGCTACGCCTATGACATTGTAAGACATAACAATTTAGTGGACAATTCAGTGGACATTTTGTCGACAGTTGGGATAACTTAAATTATGATTAATAATCAAAATCTTACACATTGCATCATGTAAATTAACACACGTCACCTCTCTGCTAAAGCAACGATAGCAATTTACAGATTTAAATCATAATCAAAACAATTCACGTACCAACATACGAACTATTGAAAATAGAGTAAAATTGATTTGCCTTGTTATTCAAATAGTCTTACAATGTCATTGGCGTAGCCAGGAGAGGGTATGATGGTGCGATCGCATCCCCCCCCTCGCACCCCCCCCCTCCCCCTTCATTACCAATGGAAATATGACCATGATGATAGAGGAAGAAAAGAGGCTTAAAATGCTTTTTATTTGAAGCTTCTAGCTCAATTTTGAAGGAAGTTACATACATTTTTGTAAATTCAAAACAAATCTTACACGTTTTCTAATGATCTCATTATGTTGTATATTCGTATATTTCGTTTTTTGGGTACCTGGTTTTTTCGACCGGGTACCAAGTTTGAACCCAGCATTGAGGATTTACTACCCGGTACCCGGTTTTTTCTACAAACCCTATCTAGAAAAGTAACCTCATTCCCTATAATTTGATGTAGATTATGAATAGGTACATTTTGATATATAACATTATGGGCTTTCAATTGAAAGCCCATGCCTACAGTATATGAAAAGGTACATTTTGATATATAACATTATGGGGGTAAGCGTTTCATATATAGTTGGTCACGACGCCAGAAGTGCAAAGTACTATTGTTCCAAATTTTTGAATTTCGTATTAGATTACGATACTCACACCTGAAGCATGGTTTTTGTTTTTGATAAATTACAATAAAGTTTAATAATATTTCTATGAGTATTTTGTGAAGTTATGTTGACGTTTATTTAAGTTACAATGTAACGGTGCATTATATTTGATTAATCAGTATCTGAAAGTACTTTTACACGCTTTTACATTAGTCCAAATCACGCAAATCCCTTGAATGTCCCGGGACATCCTGCAAATTTAGGTGGATGTCCCGCGAATCCCGCAAATTTAGGGCACTTTTTCTAGAAAATCTGTCCCTCTATGAAGTTTTTCTGGTAAACCTGTTAACTGTCCCGCAATTAGGGTGTTTGTCCCTCGAATGGTCCCGCGAAATCCCGCGAATTTGATAAAACAAATTTGGCCTATAAGCGCAATCACGCAAATCCCTTAAATGTCCCGCGAAATCCCGCGAATTTAGTAGATGTCCCGCAAAATCCCGCGAATTTTGGGCACTGGGTCTAAAAAATCTGTCCCGCGAGAAAATCTTTGGGGGTTGACAGTACTGGGGGTGTTCAAGGCAAATGTGTATTAGCAGAATACGCTGTGTGCATGGACTAACACAATGTCAGTGGTCATTTACTGTGTCAACTTAGTAACCCTTGCATATCGTGCTCACTCAAGTATTGAATAATTTTTTTATGATCTAAATGTTTGTGGTTTATAAAAAAATGTGATATATTTTAGTTGGAAATACATTAATAAATATATTCATTCAAACAGCACTAGAATGCGGGAAGAAAGAGCATTGGTGACAAAATGCAGACCTAATTTTCCGTAAGGGTTTCAAACATTTCTGGACACAATCATACATGTACTTCATGTGTACTGTTATTTTTAGTGCTGTATTTATATATATAATTTCACGTATTAAAATCATATTTTCCAGCAATGACTTCAAATTCGGAACCACCCCCATATCACATTTTCTGCAATAACTCCAAACATGTGTAAACATTGACCATGTGCATATAAATTCAGATTTCACGAGCTCTTTCCTATTCGAGTACCTCATACACCCCTGCATGGATTTGAGTTGGATTCGCCTTTTATACGTGAGCCGGTACACATCGCAAACGCTGATTGGATAAAGATTGCGAGAATCTTTAAGAAATTTGACCTGCCTCCATCTGTCAGAATCAAAGTGACAATTTTTGACATTTTCTATAGATGGCGTATTCAACAGGTGATATCTTCTGATTTTCGTGGGGAGTTTTGGTTCAATCTTTTTTGACTGACAGATGACATACTGGGATATGATGGCATGATAGCAAAATATGTCCACGCATCCTAGTTTTCTTTGAGGGCTGCACCAAAAGTTCCGAACCCTTTGCTCTAAAAATCTTGATATTTTATGAATATTGTTCATATTTGGCCATAACCACCCCATATATAGTAGTTTCATTTTGTTTAAAAATAATAAATCTGACCAGCAACAATAAATCTGACCAGCAACATAGGTGTCTGGTTACCATAGCATAGCTCTAATGTCTGGCGGGGGGTTTACGGTGGTACTTTTTGCCAGTTTTTTGTGCGTCAGAGATAAAGACACCTTATAGCGTAAAAATCAAGGTGATTGGGGTAGAGGGACAGAATTATGTTAATCGGAAATTGATGCCAATAAAATTGAAATTCATAAAATATTGACAGTTACCTTGTTTCTAATACTTTAAAAGAATGTAAAGTGATAATTATTGGTCTGTTTCATAGATATAATCATTTGGCACATTGGATTCCCTTTCCAACATGCTTAAACTTTATTTCATGAAAATCGAGCCTTCATTGACTATATATGTATATTACGAATTTTTTAAGGTAAAATACAGTTAAATATCAAGTTCATATATTCGCGAATTGCGTTCTCTTCAAGAATTTGAGAATAACACCTTTTTAAAAATTACTTAAATTAGTTTGCATATCACTTAATGTTTATGCAAAATGTGTGAATATTATTATAATGATAACCCTCTCCAAATTTTATGTTTTTTTATTCCCCAACTCCCAATTTTTCAATTTCACCAATTCGATTTATATTCCGTTACTGGACACTATCAAGTATTTGAATCAATATAAACTCAGTTTTTTTCATTCGTTTTCTTTTTTTTGGGGAGCAAGGGGGCGGTGAAAGATCGTTTGCACTTTAAATATAAGAAGTACCTCAAAAAGAAGGCTTATTCGAAAATAGTTTTTTCTAAATAAGGAAGTAAAGTAAAATATATTCTATCAATTACATATAGTGAGTAACATCACATTTTTATTTCTCTTATTGGTGTAAATAAATTGACGATAACTTACAGGTGAATGGAGGATTAGCGGAATCCTCGTCCATATCTTCGTTAATGAGAGAGATATATCCACGATCATTCATGTAAACAATATATCTTTTCTGAAAATGAATTAAACATGTTATATTTAATCTATATACTGTATAGCAAGACACTTCCTCCACTCACACAGTTCAGAGAAGATGTTAAACGTAATCACGGTGCCCATGTCAAGCTGCGCGCCTACTTAGGCGCGCAGTTTGTTTCGATCACAAACTGCGTGCCTAAGAACATTGCATCATTTAAGTTGGAGTCTGTATTTTGAAACGTAATTTAAGGACATTTATCCTGCATTGTTTTCTTGTTCAATGCGTTCATTCTGTGGCGAATATACGAATCTTGCAAATACTAGCAAAAACTATGTGCAAATGAATCTAAGTTTTAAAACATAAGCAGATTAATGGCATTTTCGTCACTGATTTAACGGGAATTTATACGTAAATCGATCTAGCACTTTAAACATAAATGACAAATACTTTAGACTCGTTTTATATTTAATTCCTTACACATTTATCATGTATAATTCAAAATATTTCGAGATAAAACAGATAATCAGGAGATTAAAAAGAAATAAATCACAAACTGCGCGCCTATTTTAGCCAGAAATTACAAACTGTGCGCATACACTATTAAAACTACATATTATCATTGGAATTTCTACAGAGGCACGTGTAGGTGTTTTTCATGTTGCTTTGGAAATTTTGCTTTATCGTCAGATTTTATGAGATTTTTATATTGAAAGTCAAAATGTGTAAAAGAAGTGACAATTAAGTTGGGAACGAAAAAAACTTTTATTTTCAGATCACCATCTTGGTGGATGATGGACTCTCATAGTGTTTTAATTATGGGGTTCTACTATTAGACACATATGTGCCTTGTATGGCGCTTATGTTTTCTAATAATACAAAACAAGCTTGGATAGGCAAGCAGTTTGGAAATATTAGGCACGCAGTTTGGGAAATACATGTGAATATAGGCGCGCAGTTTGACAAGAAAAATGTTTAAATCACGTTTATGGCGTATTATCGTTTTGAACACAAACTATGCTGCTTTAATCAGATGGAGTGATCCTATATATTCTAGCATACACAGACACAATGGCTGAATAAAATAATTAGCAACGTCGTTCATAAACAGTCTTCAATACGTCCATCTCATTCGCAGTTCGAATTCGTTCAGGTCGCACCACGTCGGTGTGCAACGTCGTATAACGCGTCCCTTAATCTAGAAGGTGATTATGACCTGATTACAGAACGGTGTGGTCGCCATCGAATTTTTAATCATTTCAAAATTCTTAAATCACCTTTCCGTCTGAGAACGTTCATGAAGTTCGTAAATAGTCCTTAGAAAATTGTAGCTACGTTCATTTCGTGTGATAGCTATATTTTTGCTAACTCGTTCATATGCAGTCTTTAATACGTTCTTTATCAGTTTAAACCCATTTGCAATTAGTTCTACCTCGTTCTCAATACGTCCTCAGACAGTTCAACTCGTTGCAAAAACGTCCCTAGTAGGATTGAAGTACGACGGTTCCGTTCGTAGCACGTCAAGCTCTTTCTAATTGTAGAATGTGACGACCACGAGAGCATTTTGAGCATGTTCTAAGTTCTAGAGGACCTACCCTCGTACGTTCGATGAAGTTTGTAAATAGACCCCAAACGGTTCTAAGTACGTCCAGTCCGTTCGTACACAGTTGAAGCCCGTTTTCGATAACGTAGTGAGGACTAGTTTGGTGTGATAGTAGGGTAACCCCCCTATCACACCAAACTAGTTCTTACCCGTTCTTTCCAGTCCTACGAAAACGTCGTAAAACGGGCTCAATCTGGCTGTGGTCGGGAAATATCTCTAAAATAATTAGCTAATTCGTTCATAAACAGTCTTCAATACGTCCATCTCATTCGCAGTTCGTTCAGGTCGTACAACGATCGGTGTGCAACGTCGTATAACGCGTCCCTTCGTCTAGAAGGTCATCATGACCTGATTACAGAACGGTATGGTCGCCATCGAATTTTGAATCGATTCAAAATTCTAGAATCACCTTCCCGCTTGAGAACGTTCATGAAGTTCGTAAATAGACCTTAGAAAGTTGCAGCTACGTTCATTCCGTTCGCACACAGTTTAAAACCAGTTTAGAATAACGCAGTGGCAACTTGTTTGGTGTGATAGCTATATTTTTGCTAACTCGTTCATAAGCAGTCTTTAATACGTTTTTACTCAGTTTAAACCCGTTTGCAATTAGTTCTGCCTCGTTCTCAATACGTCCTCAGACAGTTCAACTCGTTGTAAAAACGTCCCTAGTAGGATTGAACTACGACGGTTCCGTTCGTAGTACGTCCAGCTCGTCGTTAGTACGTTGTCACACGTTCTAATTGTAGAACGTGACGACCAAAAGAACATTTTGAGCATGTTCTAAGTTCTAGAGGACCTACCCGTTCGAGTACGTTCGATGAAGTTTGTAAATAGACCCCAAACGGTTCTAAGTACGTCCAGTCCGTTCGTACACAGTTGAAGCCCGTTTTCGAGAACGTAGTGAGAACTAGTTTGGTGTGATAGTAGGGTTAGCATTATTCACTGATTGAAAAAGGGTATACATTAAAAAAACATATAACTAGTCCGTAGTCCCAATGACCGACACTACGAGCATGTCATAATGTATTGTAATATGACTGCAAGTTATATTGTGCCCATTTACAATGATTAATTAACTGATTTCATTAATATTTTGAAAGAAGGTAAGATTTATAAGATTTCTTGAAATAGGATATGTTATTAGATTGCTTAATTGTGTCATCAACAGTGAACCAAAGACAACTTTTATATTTTCAATGTTCTAGGAAGTGTTTATTGAGTATGATGACGTAAATCTGTTATTTTGTCATTGCGAGATGAAAACTAATAAGGTTTGTTGAAATGTCAACTCACCACCCCATCTGTTATGTATGGAACGGAAAGTTCAACATTCCCTTGTTCGCCAAAGAGCCTAACTTGTAAGAACATTCCTGCACCAGTGTTCTCCTTAATGAATTCAATAGATGCTGGGACGTCATCGTCCCCATTTGATACGAGGACACCTTCCCCAGCGTTGCTGTTAACACAACATATTAACGTTGTATATGTCAACATGTAAAAATCGTGCGAATTTGCTTCGAATTTAAAGTATTTGTTCTTCTTACTCAAATGCAACTCCTATTGCCCAACCGCGCCCCAACCATTGTTTCTGCATCATATCCAGTGTCGCGGGTGCCCCATCGCCATCACACCCCAGTCCATTTCTGTCATTGGGTCGGACGGTGCAGTCTCCAGGTCCCATTATACCAGAGTTAGTTTCATCCTCTAATGGAGTGCCATTTTCCCAGAATGGGAAGTAATAGCAATCCACAACTACAAAAACACTACCTGTCTTTGGAATGGTGGATACCCTTGGTGTACTTTACTTGGTGTACATATTAGAGCATGTATGGATTTTTGTACGTCTAAATAATAAACAAATATCAATGGATCTTAGCTTCCATGATACATGCATACATTGGCACCCATATTTCAAATGCAACATGTTATACATAAACCTACAAATGATGAAAAACATACACCAAATTGTTGAAGTGCATCTACATTTCGCAATATCAAACGTTTCCCCTTCAGGGCAGGCATGACCCTCATCACAATAAGTATAACCAGTCATATTTTCCCACGCTGTGTAAGCTGGACCTTTTCCCATCGAGCAGTCGTGGCCAGGAAACTCTGGGAATAATGGATCAAAGTAAGAAATGCACGGCTGACAGCATTCTGGAATCAAGAATAAAGTATAGTACTGGGTACTTCGAAGGCAAACGCATCAAATTGAAACATTCGGCCTTTTACTTACGGTCGAATGTGCCCCTGACATCACATTCCTCAAGATCTATTACAGTCGGACTATCTTCCTCATCTGAAAATCAATCAATCCATTAGTAAATTGCACTATGAGTCAAGTAATGAACGAATTTTGCTATCTCAGCTAAAAGTGAAAAAGTCAAATGATCAAACCCCATTCTACCACCCCCATGAAACACATATTGACCTATAGTGGAGTCAGTCATGGCAATTGCACTTGCTTTATTATACAGCACCAATTTTTGACCAAAGAATGTCTAAAACATGTACACTATTTTTTATATCTAACGAAGTGGTGTTGAAAAGTGGCCCCAGTTGATAATAGCAGGCCTCAAAAACTTAGCACATTTACCTTGAGCTCCATGTTAATTTGTCAATCTTCAAAAGACCCCCTGCTGAATAGTTCTAGAGTAATAACGCCCATATATTTAGTTTATTACAATAACATTATTATCTTCAAAATAAGAAGGGTTAATTTTTTTTATTTTACCTTGTTCAAAAGATACTGGGGTTTGAATTTTGGAAAATCCCCACTGGCTGCCATTATAAAATGCTACCATGAGCCCCATTTTAATTTATCAATCTTCAGAAGGCCCCTTGCAGAACAGTTCAAAGGTGATAAAGCCCATATTCCTATGATTATCTTAGAAATAATATGGAAGGGTTAAATGTTTACTTTTACCTATACTAGTTCCAAAGATAATGGCGTTTGAATTTTGGAAAATCCCCATTGGCTGCCATTATAAACGACTATCAATATGGCTTTTTTAAGTGTTCTTTTCTGTAAAAGTACACTATGAATTTTCTAATATTACATATATTTCTATAGTTGATATATTGATTTAAAAAAATCAAAACAGGTACATTTCTGAAAGAATCTTTTTTTTAAATATATTTAGCCAAGTTTTTGACGGCTAGATATATTAAAATAAGTAATTTTCAGAAATGTGTCTGGAATATTGTCACATTGGCAATATTCATGAAGATCGTCAACGTAACAAAAGCGGGGGACTAAATATGTAAATTGCGTGAATGTGCATTTTCCAAAATTCAAACGCTAATATCTTTGGAACTAGGTAAAATAAAAATGTAGCCCTTCTTATTTTGAAGATAATCATATTTTTGCAACATACTAGGAATTGCTTTATTACTTTAGAACTGTTATGGTGCTGTTATACAGCAAGTGCAATTGAACACCTAACTGACTTCACTACTAAGATAAGAACAGTACCTTCATGGCATTCATAGTCGCCTCCGCCTTCAATGTTACTAGGCCATTGACACGAACAGGTCTTTGGGTCAAACTTTAAAGGTTTCATACACCATCTCTCGTATGCCTCAAATCCACTATCGAACGCATCATTTGCTTGGCACTGGTAATATTTACAAAAGTTACCATCATATGCAAAGTAACCACCCGCACATTGAGCTAAAATATAGTAACACGTGATCAAATAATTGGGTCAATTGTGTGTGCTATTTTGAAATGCATATAATAATAACCAAATAACAATTATTTGAATTGTTGGCTAAAGAGGGAAGTAAAGACTCTTTATCATGAACAATTAACTTTTCTAACCTGCAGTGGGGACCTCTATTGCTATAAATGCAAAGTAGAATAATTACTGAATGCATGCAAACAGACTCTCAAGAAACGTTATTCTCGAGAGGCCAAGTTCATGGCTTAGTACATATTTTATGTTGTTCAATTTTTAATTAATTTAGTTTATCTAATTTATCACCCGTTTGTATATCTCTAGTACACAAGAAACTGTTTACCCATGTGCTATTGTATCATACATGTCATGTCAAAGTTTCATATACCTCAATGTAAATGTACGTTACTTATAGTTGGCTAATATGATATGTTGGTGCGGCTTACCAATGAGTTCTTCATACTTTACAAATGCACTAACAACAGAGGACGTCACAATCAGACCCAGTATATAATACAACGGCATGGCGTCTTAAAAATATACATATTTTAATGTTGATTATACATCCCCAGAGAGGATTGGAAGAAACAATTCTCATTCGATTCTCAGTTGCCTGCCCTGAGACAATTTAGTAAAAATATTTCTATAAGGTTATCTTTGGACCAAGTTTTTCTTTGGAAGATAGGCATTATGAATATTATGGTAATATTCAAGCTTCTTTGGTAGTTCTCCACAAAATGAGTAATACTATTACCAAATTGATCTACGCCGGTCAACGGAGTATCGAGTTTTAATAACGGCTTCCAATCCTCCATGATACATCCCGTTATAATCAAGGTGGACATGATGGTGTCCCGTTCCTTTTAATTCAAACCTCTTATTCCAAAATGCACACAACATGACGGCTATTGCAAATGTACTGCCAACCAGAGATCCTGGTCAGATCCACGGCACTTTTTCAGATCTATATCAAATGTATTGAATCAAATTCCCATATAAGGTACATTTACATTTCTTTATGATAATTATCATGCAGAAGAAACAACCATTTCGGTTTCAATGTTTAAGTTCAAATCTCACCTTTTATATCAATCTGCTATTACTAAAACAAATGCAACATAGTAATGTAGCGGGTGATTTAATGTCTTCTGCCTATAAAATAATTACTTGGTGGATTTGTTGATTGAAGGAAACGATTTATAACGAATGCCTCTGGTCAGTTATCTTAATGATCTATTGACCTAAAACCAACAATTTAAATCACACTGGTAAATTATTTCATATTGGTTGAGGCTGTTCGACGCAGGTATCGTCATATTCTCAGTTTTGTGTGAGCTCGATATCTCTTCAGGACAAATCACATGTGAGAAAAATGGATGTACATTCTCTCTACCTTGGAATTTATGTCACCTCACATTCTGGTAGTTTTCATAGCCGGCAATGATTGGGCCCTTTGATTGTTATTCGAGATACTACATTCAGTGAACCAAGGTAGGAAAGTGCCACCCGAGGCCCCAGCTTCGTTGCATCGTAACTTCATATATCGATATCTCTTGATTATTAATTTAAACCGTTTATAATCTCAACTCTTCAGTCAGATTTGAACTTTTCAGAACGTGTAGATGATTTGAAATTGGTCAATTTAAAGCAAGTTGAAATTAGACCTTTTTGACCTTAAGGAGGTCATCGAAAGACAAATCTTAAATCTAAAGTCAGATTTGAACTTCTAAAAACTTGTAGATAATTTTGAAAAGAAAGTTGGTCAATTTGAAATAAGTTGGAAAATACCTTTTGACCTTTTTTTTAGCTCACATGGTGAGCCATTGCAATCACTCACTTGTCCGTCCGTCCGAAGCTTTAAAGGGAACATTTTCTACAATTTAAAATAAATTCAATTTTATTTCCTTAAATCTCAACAAATTTATGCAAATTCACAAATACTTATCTAAAATCTAAAAAAACGTTAATAAAACAGGATGTAACTTTTGTAATTTCAAAATATATATGAAAAATAATAACTCCTTTTAAGAAATCAAATGATATTTAAAAAATTATAAAATCCATAGAATCTTTCGGAAATTGATAAAACTTACAATAATTTAAAGAACTCTATTTATTTATAAAAAGTCTAACTTGTTTTGGGATCAACATGATAAATGAAAATCAAAATATAAAAAAAAAGTTTGAAAAAAGTATTTTGCAAACATGATCTTGAAAATTGATAAGGTATGAGGTTCCATATCCATCCGCCTATATATAGTCCATTTAAAAACTTGTAGTTTTGTTCTAAATAACACCATAGTTGGCTTTTAGGGTACCTAGTATGCCACAATTTGGTATCAAAATAAAGAGGAGGAAATCAACTTTCATTTGAATAACGAAAATAGCGATGTGTAGGTCAAAATAGTTCCGTCGTGATCATGTTTACTACGCGTTTGCCTGTCATCTCAGAATTGAGGAAATGGTAGTTACAATAGAAATGGACGCTGATATCTCAAAAATAACACTCCCTATAATTTGATGTAGATCAATTGAATCCCTATATGAACAGGTACATTTTGATATATAACACTATGGGGGTAAGCGTTTTATAGTTGATCACGAACGCCGTGCAAAGTATTGCTCTGAATTTTCGAATTTGGTGTTGGATTACGATACTCATACCTTAATATGAGGCCTAAAATTGTCTGCTAGTTGGCCAGAGACCAATATTCCAGCAGAATTCGAGAACAGAATCGATATTTTCGTTCTGCGTAAGGCAAACAATGATTTAAATCACTTTCAACCCTTCTGTGTGTATAAGAATGGTCATAAGAGGCCCGTTGAGGGTCATAAATGAAAGAGAGCCCTCTGAAATTCCGTCGAAATTGCAGCTTATTTCTTCATATTTTGCTAAAGTTACATGATTTTGAGGGCCCATATCTCACTGAAATTGCTACAATGTAGCGATTTTTCATTTTTATAGGCTAGATACACGTGTCAGGTCAACAGAAACAGTAAGCATGTGTGATTTTAAATTGCTACATTGTACCAATATTTATTTCAAAATACAGCTGTTGGGGAAACTGCTATTTACTTAGATTTGGGCGAAAATGGCCAAATTTCAGTCAAAATCGTCGGGACATAGGGCCTTTGTCGTAGATTTAGTCAATGATGCAACTCTTAGTAGAAGGCGTGCCATGTAGGGAATGAAAGCTGTTTGTCAGACGTATCATTTTCTTCAATAAACTCAGAGATAGTCAGGTTAGATTTGTGACGTCACAGTGGCAAAGTTAGACTTGCATATTTAGACGTATTTGGGGTAGGGCAGATTAACCCTTTCTAGCCTAAATGGATAAAAAACTTTTACATATTCAGCTAGTTCCGACGTTTTTATGCATCTTTGAACTAAAAATGATATTTTCTGCCAAAAAAAGTTGCAAAGACAAAAATCAGTGTGATTTCATAAAACATTAAGGTATGAGGTTCCATATCCATCCGCCAAAAGGTATGACCCCTATATAGTCCATTTAAAAACTTGTGGTTACTAACTTCACACAACTGCTTCGCTAGGGAGTTTAAACTTGCAATGTTTTTCACAACCTAAATGTGAACGGAAAATATTTAAGCGGTGCACTTGTATAGGCGATTGCTCATACGTATTGGTCGGTGTTTCTGTTTTATATATGTCAAGTTGTCAGGTTCAATAAAACTAATAAATGAACTTAAGTGTCTGATTTGATTAAACAGATTATTATATTGTATTTATAATTACAAATAGTTAATTACAAAAATAGACAAAGTATACTAATACTACACAAAACTGGACGGCTGATGCTGCAAAACGTGCACACTGGATACGTGGAAGGTTACTGGGCTTATGATGTACGTAGACGGACGTTATGGTAGATGATACAATACACGTGAACTATCGAGAGTCTAATATCACGTTCACCACGTGAAGATACTGGCTGGACGTGTTGGTAGACTTCTTACTCGAGTCGGTTTATACTCACATCGACGTTACTGGATAAGAGTCTATGGATGTGATAATAGTCACTTGGTTTTATGCTGTACGTAGACAGACGTTATAGTAGATAATGCATTGCACGTGAATTAGCGAGAGTCTAATATCACCACCACGTGAGGATACAGGCTGGACGTGTTGTAGACATCTTACACTAGTCCAATATTACACTGATACAACTCAGACACAGTTTATAGACGCACGAGACGATACAAGGAGACAGTCTGTGCACATACGCAGATACATTTCTCGTTGACAGCTACATACTACACCAAAACTATAAAAAATGGATAATAAACCTATCTAAGACACACGTTTCTAGAATATATGAAATATAATATTTTCAACTAGTTCCCTAAACTGGTACAGATAACCAATGGATGCTAAGAATAATATGCCATATAAGTGAACACCGAATACAAGAAAATTATAATTATCTTGAACAATATAACTTATCCTTGTACAATGTAACTTATCCTTGTACAGTATAACCTATACAATAAATAAACACAAAGGAAATATTGAAATGAATATATACTAAATAAATACCTCAGTATGTTTCACTAATGTTGACCACATATTGTACAAAGTCACGCCACGTGTTATGACAAGGTAGATGACATCGACACTACACGTACATGTTGACACTAGACTTCACAGGAAAACGCACAACAGATAAACGTGGTTCACAAATGCAAGGGTATTTATATGAGTGGACAGTGAGTGAAATAGTGAATGAAATACTAAGGAAATGGAATGATGCCAATTGATTTCTATACTTATGAATACTACCTGTAGAGCTAAGAGTATATTGAATGATAAACTCGCGTTTGACTGAAACGCTAACCATACTTGACAATACTCCCCACGATAAGATTTCACTTAAAAATCCAATTTTTAAAATTATGAAATCTCACTAGCGTGAAGGAATACGTGTTTAAGTATATATGAAAGTTTACAACACATAATGAAGTAATGTAACTGAGTATACAATGCTTAAGTATACACCTAACGTTTTTCAAACTAATGTACATGGAAACTAACATGTTGATTAATAAATGTGACACTGAGTAGACATAAAATAACATTAAATATGATCAAATAATTTAAAGTTGAAATGTCAACTTTTTACATACATTACGTATTTATGCAACATCTTAATGCAACCTTTTACAAACTACTTTTTATTACTACATTTTGTAACTACGTTTTACTACTACGAGTTACTACTACGAGTTACTACGAGTTACTACAAATCTTAAAGTAATACTTGTACTTCAAAACTTTACACTGAGTAATCATTTACAATATTCAGACACTTGTCTGTCTTACTTAACAAAGTGTTAAAGTAAGTTTTCACAAATCTTATCAATTGTATACATGTGATATACTTCACGACTAAGATGCATACAGGATCTACAAAATCAAGTACACTTAAAGTGAAGTTGATACGTCACACCAAACTGTAAGTCACATGGCCGCTGCAATGATGCACAATCACACCGATCGACTGAGATAGTCTGCTCCCACACAGTCAATTCCCTTAATGATTTGTACTCTGAATCTGTATTGCTGAAGAAACAGAGCCCACCTCATTATTTTGGGGTTAGTGAATTTTGCCTGATGGATGAAATCCAAAGGACGGTGGTCAGTCTGGAGGCAGAACTCCACACCATACAGGTAGGTTTCAAATTTTGAAATACCCCAGACAATGGCCAGACATTCTCTTTCAATTGTTGAGAAGTTTTTTTGAGATTTTGATAATTTTTTATTTCCAAAGGCAATCGGATTTAGAATAGAATCATGTTCTTGCAATAGAACTGCAGCTATGCCTACATCAGAGGCGTCCGTTCGTAACGTGAATGTTTTGCTAAAGTCTGGCAATCGTAATATTGGGGCTTCAACAAGAGACTGTTTTAAGGTTTGAAAGGATTTTTCATGATTTTCATTCCACATCTTTTCACAATTATCTGGAACACCTTTCTTGGTTAAGTCAGTAAGTGGAGCGGCTATTGTTGCGTATTGTGGAATGAATTTCTGATAAAAACCGATTGTTCCGAGAAATGATCGTACTTGCTTTTTTGTTGTTGGTGTTTTTGAATTTACAACTTTTTCCACTTTTTCGTTTTGAGTGTACAATGCACCATGACCTACTTTGTGACCTAGAAAGTCAACAACTGGATAACCGATTTTGCATTTTGACGGTTTCATGGTAAGATTGGCCTTTTTACACGTACAAACAGATTTCTGAGAATAGTGAGGTGTTCCTCCCAGGAATGTGTATATGCTATGACGTCATCGATGAAGTTTTGAACGTTAGGCAATTTGTTGAGCAAAATACGCATCATTTTGTTGTATGTACTTCCCGCATTGACCATGCCGAACGGCATTTTCACAAACCGCATTAACCCGAGTGGCGTTTGAAATGCTGTGATGTCACGATGTTCTTCTTTAACAAAGATTTGCCAGTAACCCTTACAACAATCAAAGGTTGACAAAAACTTGGCTTTGCTGATTTTTGAGAAGATTTGCTCAGTGTTTGCCATTGGTTCTGCGTCAAACACTGTAATTTTGTTGATTTTCCTAAAATCAATTACCGGACGATTCGACTTTTGATCTTTCTTTTTGATAAGAAACATTGGTGAACAGTAAGGAGACGAACACGGTTCGATAATTCCGAGATTTAACATTTCCTTAACTTCAGATTCGATGATATCTAATGCGCCGTGTGGAATAGGGAACGGTTTACTTCTTACTGGTTCATCACTGGTTAAAATGATTTCATGTTCTATAAGATCAGTTTCTCCTGGTATTGAAGAGAAAATGGCGTGGAACTCTTGTACTAAACTCTTTGCTTGAGATATTTGAATATCTGATAGATCCGGATTGATATCAATATCTTCAAATGTTTCAGTTTTACTGTTTAAAACTGGAATGTATACTTCGTCAACTTTGTCTTCTTCGAGAATTGACACCAGATTTAATTCCATTGGACGTTCTACGTATTTCTTGAGCATGTTTATGTGAAATATTTTGACGCGGTTAGGTAACTGGATTTTGTAATCGTTGATTCCTACTTTTTGCAAAACCTCGAAAGGTCCTTTCCAATGCATCAATAGTTTATTGTTGTCTGTTGGTAAAAGCAACAAAACTTTATCGCCCGGTTTTTATGATCTGGCTTTTGTTTTCTTATCAAAGTGAGATTTGTAGATTTGTGAATTTTTCTCTAATTCCGCGTGGGCTAAACTACACGTTTCTTCTAATCGATTGCGGATATCTAGCACGTATTCGTAAGTTGTTTTGATTTCTGGATTTGAAATTTCTTTGGTTAACAACTCTTTCAAAATGGTGAGTGGGCCACGTACTGAACGCCCGTACAAGAGTTCGAACGGAGAGAAGTGAAGACTAGCTTGCGGTACTTCGCGGTACGCGAATAACAAGGGTTCGAGATAACGATCCCAGTCTGAAGGACGTTCTGAGCACATTTTTTTGATCATAGACTTCAATGTTCCGTTAAACTTTTCTACAAGGCCATTTGACATAGCATGGTATGGTGTAGTAGTGATTTGATCTAAGGATATAAGTCTACATATTTCGCTCATCATATCTGAGGTAAATTGAGATCCTTGATCGTTCAACATTTGAACAGGAAATCCGATTCTTGAAAACATTGAAAGCAACGCTTCGGCTACGGTTTCTGTGTCAATGTTAGGTAGAGCTTTTGCTTCTGGATATCGGGTGGCAAAATCTACCAGTGTTAATACATACCGGCTACCTTTGTCTGTCTTAGGAGCCATGGGGCCGATAAGGTCTACTCCGATTTTTTCAAAAGGCGTTCCAATTATTGGCATTTTTTGCAAGGGAACTTTGGCGATTTTTCCTTTTGGAATGGTTCGTTGGCATATGTCGCATGATTGACAATATCGTGTAACATCGCCAGATATGCCTGGCCAATAGAAATGATTCATTATTCTATCGAGGGTTTTCTTTGAACCTAAATGACCTGACATGATATTGTCATGTGCCATGTTCAAAATGACGTTTCTAATGATAGATGGAGCCACGATTTGTTTAATTATGCTACCATTATTGATGTATGGCGATTTGTAATATCTTACAATTATTCCGTTTTCTTTACGGTAATAGTATTCGTTGTTTTTGCCAGATCTTTTGACATCATTTTTCTTGACAAGATCGCGAATTTTTCTTAATGACGGGTCTTGATTTTGTTCTAGTTGTAAATCAATGGATTTGATCACGTCATTGAACGGTTTTACAATCAGTGGTTTTGTGTTCGGTTTGGATTTGAGCTTTTGCTTTTGTAAACGTGTTTGGACAACGTTTATTTCAAGATCGGAGTCATTTTGATCGATGTTTGATTGAGGACATTCATTGTGTTTATGAAATGTCATTTGATTAGATTTCTCGTTTTTGACATGTTCAGTATTTGCAAACAATTTTGAGCCATGTTCGGTATTAAGGGCAATCTTTGAGTCGCGTTCGGTGTTTATATCAATTTTCAAGTCACGTTTGGTGTTCGGAGCAAAATTTGAGTCATGTTCGGTAATTCTTGAGTCACCTTCGGTGTTTGGAGCAATTTTTGAGTCACATTTGGTGTTCAGAGCAAACTTTGAGTCATGTTCGGTGTTCAGAGCAATTTTTGAATCGCGTTCAGTTTTTGGAGCAATTTTTGAGTCACATTTGTTTAATTGAACATTGTTGTTTTTCTCATTGTCATTCACGGTAGATTCTGTGAAATTTTTGCTTACTTTTGGCATAAGTGCTCCTGGTAGGTTACCAAGAACTATGTCACAGATTGGTTGTTTTAAGCACAGTGCTTTAACTTTACCGGTGAAGTACGGTGTTTTGACGAAGATTTCGGCTTCTGGAGCATTGCCTATTCTTCTATCTACAGTTAGGAATTGTCTATTTTTACCGGTAAACTGATGGTCTAAAACCAGTGCGTGTTTGATTATAACGCCGCTACAACCTGTATCGCGTAATACAGTAACATGTTTGTTATTCACGATACCTTGGCAAGTTGGTAGATTGCGTAAGGAAACATTAGACTGATCACTTTCGGTATTACACGCGTTACTAACTATTGGGACGTCAGACCAATAGCGTAATTTGACATCTTCGTTTGGTAACAATGTGCAAATAGCTGAAGACATGGGTCCGAGACCATCATAATCGCTTTCATCGGACGAATTTTCACTCTGCGCACATTCATCTTCTAAGATTTCAATTGCTGCGGATTGTACAGGTTTAGCATTTGATTTTTGTTTGGATTGGTATTTAGATTGTTTTGATTTGCAATCGATTGCAATATGGCCCTTTCGGTCACAGATAAAACAAGTTCTATCAGTCACAGGTATGAATGATTTATTTCCTGTTGAATTAGACTCTTGGGTAGTGGCAGATTTTTCATTTGAATAGGATTTTACAAAATCTTTACTACGCGAGTTCTTGTATTGCTTTTTCAAGGATTCTTTCCCATGAGCGTTTGTGTACTTCTCAGCGAGATTAACCACATTCTCTAGATTGGTTATTTCATGTTCACGAATAAACATTGCTACATTTTTGTCAACAGTATGTAAGAATTGTTCTCTTATTATGAGGTCAGCTAGATCATTGTATTCTTTGTTTGCGTTTGACATGGAAACCCAACGATCAAAATACAGAGATATACGATTAGCATACTGTGTTGCAGTTTCGTCACTTTCAAGAGAGCTACGGAAGAATTTTTTTCTGAATCCGTCTTCATTGAGTTGATAATGTTTTGCACGTGAATTAGCGAGAGTCTAATATCACCACCACGTGAGGATACAGGCTGGACGTGTTGTAGACATCTTACACTAGTCCAATATTACACTGATACAACTCAGACACAGTTTATAGACGCACGAGACGATACAAGGAGACAGTCTGTGCACATACGCAGATACATTTCTCGTTGACAGCTACATACTACACCAAAACTATAAAAAATGGATAATAAACCTATCTAAGACACACGTTTCTAGAATATATGAAATATAATATTTTCAACTAGTTCCCTAAACTGGTACAGATAACCAATGGATGCTAAGAATAATATGCCATATAAGTGAACACCGAATACAAGAAAATTATAATTATCTTGAACAATATAACTTATCCTTGTACAATGTAACTTATCCTTGTACAGTATAACCTATACAATAAATAAACACAAAGGAAATATTGAAATGAATATATACTAAATAAATACCTCAGTATGTTTCACTAATGTTGACCACATATTGTACAAAGTCACGCCACGTGTTATGACAAGGTAGATGACATCGACACTACACGTACATGTTGACACTAGACTTCACAGGAAAACGCACAACAGATAAACGTGGTTCACAAATGCAAGGGTATTTATATGAGTGGACAGTGAGTGAAATAGTGAATGAAATACTAAGGAAATGGAATGATGCCAATTGATTTCTATACTTATGAATACTACCTGTAGAGCTAAGAGTATATTGAATGATAAACTCGCGTTTGACTGAAACGCTAACCATACTTGACAATATATAACGTTCACGCCAGATTTCACTATCAAATGTACAGAACAGAACTGAGCACAGTCGATTGAACGAAATGTTTATTTTAAGATATTCTTCGATATTTAAGCATTATATAATTTCAAAAATAAAATACATCTTCTTGCAGAAATTAGTGATTTCCCGATGATGATTCACCATATTGATGAAAAACAACAAGCTCTCTGCCCAGCCAAACTATACATCAGCTATTGTAGGTGGAGATGGTGGCGGTCCTCCAAATACCCAGTCAACCGCTCCTTGGCCTGTTGGTGGAAAGTAACACACAAGCACCTACAATGAATCAGTGTTGGAATCAGATACCACTATATTTGAAATATATTAAACAAGCCCAACCGTCATAGGTTTGATTATTTAAAGGCGGTACAAGTTCAAGACACGTCTTCTAGTACCACCTGAAATAACTTACATTTGATAATATTGATATTTTGGGAACTTTCCCATGCCATTTCCAGGAACCCCAGACTTCAGGTTTCTTATTGCGCGATCAAAGCAGTCTTAAAGTGCAAATTAGTGTTTTCGGTTGGTGCAGGGAGAGGCCTGGGCTTCTTCAATTTGAATTGTTAATTCCCTTAATCAACTCTTCAGGAAATTAGATACTTTGAGGGGAAGGAGGAGGGAAAGTATTGCAACAGATTTCAGACAGTCACATGTTGGATGTTGGCTATCTTCTGAGGATTTAAACAGGTACATAGACCAATTAGACCAATGCATTAACTCCAAGAATAGCACGCCTAGAGATGATAAAATAATTTCGACTTTGAGAGAGGGAAGATGCAAACAACCCACCCACATGTTTTTTCTGAAATGTTTTCCTGATTTTCAACCCCTTCCACCCCTGCTTTTTTAATTTTTGTAGTATCAATATGTTGTGTTTTGACACAAACTTAACCCCTTTAAAGGAATAAGTGATTCCTTTAGATAAAGTGGAAAACAATATTTCTCATGTTATTTACCCATAGGGAAAACTCATGCGATCCATTGCTTTCAACTAATTTTGGTCACCCATAATGGATATCTTTAAAACCCCCGAAGGAATCACTTATTCCTTTAAAGGGGTTAACTGTGTGTCAAAAAGCAACATATTGATGCAACAAAAAGCAGGGGTGGTTTAAATCTTCAGAAAATAGCCAAAATCATGAGCATAATAGATTAGAACGCAACGAATTACATAAAGCCAACACTCAAAATCTATGCTTGTCATTTCGAATATGCAAAATCAATAAACAAAGATATTTAAAAATTGTCACAACAAGTCTTTCAATCCATATTATACAACACAAACGTTAAAGTTTTAAGTGCGAAATGGTATTTAGGTTTTCACTCACATCTGTGAAAAATCCAGCAGATTGACCAAACTGAAGTGGAAGCCGTGTCCCTTCAAGAGCCCCTGGAATTATATTTATCAATAAGTGAACCAACTGCATGCAATGGTGTTAAGGATATTGTACATTTATATACATGTATATAAAGTATATAGTAGAGTAGTTTATAGTAAAGTATAAAGCAAAACATGGTGGAAGAGAATTTAACATTAAGTAAAGCATACCCCATTAGTCCATTCTTAAGTTACGTACATGTATAAGGAGGGTTGGCGGTGTCCTCGTCCATGTCCTGATTGATCAAAGTAATAATTCCCTTCTGGCTCATGTGGATCAAATACCTTTGCTAAAATGAACAACATGCCCCAACTAAATGCACAAAGTGTTTTATACCCAATGCTAATTGCATATTTTTTTTACATATCCCATGTATTTCAGTTGATAAAAAATTAACAATGTAGAGCAATGTAAGCTCTATAATTGAACATGGCTATACTTACAGATCCGGAGAGATATGGTACAGACACTTCCACATCACCCTGGTCTCCTGATAACTTAACTATAACGTTCTGGTCCTGTTTACTGACTTCGATTGACGCAGGTACATTCTCGTTACCATTCGATATAAGGACACCATCTCCTGCATTGCTGCAATGTCAATATATTCATTAGAAAATATGAATATATTTTGCACATAAACCTGGAATTGCTTTAAAACAATGGGAGCAACTGCCCAAGTATTAGCTGATAAAGCACACAGTACATCTATATGCAATAATTTGTTTTGCCAGTGCTGTTCTCTACGTTTGGTTAAACGTCTCTACTAGTTAATGGAGAGGTTAAGCTAGCGATGTTTTTCACAACGTAACCGTGAACGCAAAGTACAAAAATTAACAAAGGAATGTATCGAGCGCTCATAGTTTTATGCGCGCTTAGTCTACTTCAGATACTCTTTCAGCTTCAGAGTTTCGGGTTTAGAACGGGAGATTTGAATATTTGACGTTGGGTCAACGGGAACCATTTAACTCGTGTCTATTGAACACTATGGTGTCAATTTTGATTTCGATGCAAAGTTGAATTCTTGCTGAACACGATGATGTATGTCATGCATGATTTAGCGCCAAAAATCTTACGAAACGAGCTCGTTTAAAATATGTATTAGAAAACCAGCTATAAAACCGCATCAATGACATACTATAGAATCATTACACGCTATGGTGTAGTCTAAACAAACACTGGATTTGAACGGCTATTTATATGAGAAGGCTACATGAATTTGTATATGGTCGAGTGATACGTACAGGTTCAGTTTCGATTATATATGCAAAGCTTAACCTCTCCATTACTCAACTCTAAACCAAATCCGATTGCCCATCCACGTCCCAGCCATTGTTTCTGCATCATATCTAGAGTTGCGGGGTCTCCAATTCCGTCACACTCCAGTCCATTTCTGTCATTGGGTCGGACGGTGCAGTCCCCAGGTCCCATTATACCAGAGTTAGTTTCATCCTCTAACGGAGTGCCATTTGGCCAGAATGGGAAGTAGTAGCAATCAACGACTGGAATGTTCAACGATAACCATTTTACAAATATGATAAAAATAGCGTGAAACAAAGAAGAACCAGCCATACGTTATTACTTTGAATAAGGTTGTATTAAAGTAACTTTCTATGATTTCATCTAAAAATTAAAACCCTTGGAAATACTAAATATGGTTTAATTGCCATATATAAAATTCATTTTAGAAATATTGTGGATCAAAATGAAAAAAATCAAAAATAAAGAATAAAAATAAATTCGACCTGTGGGATTTGAACCCAGATCTTTTGGAATAATAGTATGTGTTATAGCCACCACTACCACAGTTCCATTACTGAAGGATGAAATTCTTTATGTATATAATCATGCCAGAAAAACATATTTCTAGGAACGTAGACGTTTGTTATGGTTCCTTAAGTCAACTCGGACCCTAGTTAACTCGGACCCTAGTTAACTCGGACCCTAGTCAACTTGGACCCTAGTTAACTCGGACCCTAGTCAACTTGGACCCTAGTTAACTCGGACCCTAGTCAACTTGGACCCTAGTTAACTCGTTGTTAGATGAAACAATGGTTGATAATGGTGAAAAGTAATTCATAAAAAAAATCATGAACCATTCAGCCTGATTGTGAAATCATATTCCTTAATATTTGATAACCTGAAGAGTTTGATTTTACATGAAACCAGTTAGTTTGTATTACAAACAAATTTGTCAATAAATTAGGAATTCAATGTGAATTAAACCTTTTTGACATCTCTTCTTCAAACCAAGTTTAAAGGGGTCAAAATGATAATTAAATTGAAAAGGAAGGAATTTCTTAATGAAAGTAATAGATAAACGTTTCAAATATATATATCTTTTATCGTCTCTTTAGATGTCATATCATGACATATTAGTCACTTAGGTAGAGCAGTTCTTCCCATTGTCGAGTTGAAGAACTGGTATCTTTATCCTGGCTAGAACCATAGAAAATTCTAGCCAGCGTACCTGCGTCAAATCAAATGATAACATCATATTTGATAAAATTGTGATTTAGCGCTGTAACTTTAGTATTCACCAAATAATCTAAACACTTAGTGTACAAAAAAGTTAGACAAATCAATTTCCTATATAAAAATGTTTTTGCTGAATTTTTCACTGGAAAGATCTTCTGATTTCTGATTTGCCCCGAACCCTCCATTTCTCATTGGGTTACATGGGAATCACGATTTTCAAAAATTCATCAAATTTATCATCAATTTTCGACCTATTGTAATTGAGGAAAAAATTGAGAAAATTTGGAGGAATTGGAAATAAAGTCAAGTTACGTTTCCATCAATATTAAAGTTATTTCATCGCCGGTTAAGTAAATAAAAATTCAAACGTAAAGAGGCTTTAACACGTAGTTCAATGGGGGAGCTAAGGTTGCAAAACTTATGGAGGAGAATGTACCTCTGATTTATATTAACCCTAGAAAAATGACCCCCCCCCCCCTGTTAATTTTTTTCCCCATAACTTTTTATTGGCATCTAGTAGGATCTTCAAATGTTCAGTAGCTGGAGCTACAGATATAACAAATGTTTTCTGAAAAAATCAGCAAAATTGCACATAGGGTTATTGATAATCTATTATGATGTAATCATCAGCTCCAATAGACAAAATCGGAAAAAGCTAGCACTATTTCTACAATACTTTTGTCTTTAGAATAAAATTACGCAACCTTGCATCATCAAAGTTGTTAATGTTATTACACCAAGTTGTAGAAAATTAAATGAAGTAAATTTTGGGAAAGTTTGAACATCCTAGCTTTACTAGTTTGTTATTAATATATTATGATGTAATCATCAGCTCCAATTGACAAAATCGGAAAAAAGCTAGCACTAATTCTACCATACGTGTTGTCTTTAGAATAAAATTACGCAATCCTACATCATCATGGTTGTTAAAGTTATTACACCAAGTTGTAGAGAATTGAATGAAGTATATTTGCGGAAAGTTTGAACATCCTAGCTCTACTAATAAAAATTTTACAAGGGGGTGCTCTTTTGACCCCCCTTAGGTGTTTTTGTAACTTTTTTTTACCTTAGGGCTTCTAGGGTTAATATAACTAGGGTCCAATTTGACTAGTGTCCGAGTTGACCAGATACCTGTGATATTATGACCTCTCTATTGAGCTATACAGGAACATACTTAGCACACTTTTTCCCTTACACCTTTATACTCAATCGGGAAAATAAAGGCCTCGCCAGAGGGAAATAGTTCCTAGAGGTCATGTCATGTACATGTATACGTTCACACTTAATCGTTTTCAACAGTGCAAACGTCATTATCCCCTAATTGTCTCACGTGTCAGATTTGCAACATACTGTGTTATACATACACCAAATTGTGGAAGTACATCGGCATCTCCCTATCTCAAACTTCTCTCCTTCGGGACAAGCATGCTCTTCGCCACAGTATGTATATCCTGTCTCGTTCTCCCACATTGTATATGGAGGGCCCTTTCCCGTAGCACAGTTATCAGGAGCGTTAATCTCCATTTCCTGATTGTACGAAGTACACGGTTGGCAGCATTCTTAAACAGAATACATCTCATTATGATAAATACATGTAGCTATAATACATGTACTTCCATTTGATTGATCAAATACCCGTTCTATACAAATATTTCATACGATTTTCCGTGAATACCTGTTGCACTTTCAATCATTCTAGTCGGGTGTATTCCCCGAAGTCCAAGGGGCAGGGGACCTTGGGGATCATTGAAAGTGCAACAGGTATTCACCGAAAATTGTATGAATTTTTTGTTATATTATTCACTTTTATATTCACCACTCTACCCTTATTATGGAAATGTCTTATAAGAACAAAAATGATTAGATTTTCTAGTACCATTTTTAGATTTACACTTAGTCTAGCGAAACGCCAAATCTGGTGAAAGTGCCAATTAAATACGCCTTTTTCTGATGTCACAAGCATGGCAGTCTTCTAATTTTTATGCACGTGTAATGAGAGACCGGTTTATAATGGAAATTAATTGGGATATGCGTGTGCCAGTTAATATTGGTGAAGTTATGATGGATTAAAAGTGCAAAAATGGGTGAAAAATGTTTAAATTCTCCCAAATAATAAGAATGGTAACCATTCTTATGAAAAAATAATACATTATTGTAAAAATCTTTAGCTTTCCTGAAATTAAGTGTGCACTTATTGGGGATTTTTAGAAAATAGACATGAAAAGGAATGACACAAGCCAGAAATATTCTAAATTGAAACAATTTTTTGTTTGGCTGCTTCTCTCTTTAAGAATACACTCTACAACAAATATTTGAGATTTGGGCCACTGTATATAAGGTCGAGACGATTGTATCTACAGTATAATACAGGTACCAATTAAATGCAATTTACGAAACGATATCTTACGGTCAAACATGCCTCTAACATCACAGTCGATGAGAGCTTCGTCTGGTCTGAGATGCTCTTCTTCAACTTCTTCTTCAAACAGATGATTAGTGATGCGCATTAAATTTCATGTATTTAATAATGTATGACCACATAGTCATCGTAAATATAAATATAATGTGTTTACATACATACATTATGTATACTAAAACCAATTCTTAAATGATGTCCACATAAACGTTTCATTTAGAAAAGTACTTTAGGTACCTTGAAATAAAAGTACTCTCTTCTAAACCTGCAAAACATGTACGACTTTCACGTACCTTCGTGACATAAATAGTCACCATCTTCGACGCTATTAGGCCATTGACACGAACAGGTTTCCGGGTCAAAATTTAAGGGTTTCATACACCATCTTGGATATGCCTCAAATCCACTGTCGAACTGATCCGTAGGCTGGCACTGATAGTATCGACATTTGTTATCCTCATATTCAAAATAGCCACCATCACATTGTGCTGGTAGTAACAAATTATAATTAAAGATGCAACAATTAGTGCAACGATCATGGACCAGTGTCGAAATATGTTTAAGTTTGGATATTTCATCAAGACTAACATATATTTTTCAGTGTTATCTCCAAAGAAACATACAACATTATTTCAGTTACTATTCCTTTTGAAACGTGGTGGATCTAAAAATCTATAAGTGGGACTCCATAGTATAGAAGCTTTGGAATGTATTTACACTTCTTGATACTGAAATAGGTAGTTCACATCCATACATTTTAAGAAAATAGGTATGTCAAATGAGATATTAAAGCCAAATGTTGCCCTGGTAGCTCAGGAAAAGTAAAAAGGATTGGTATCGATGGCGAACTGAATTCAACATTGTTTTTCTCTCAAACCAATTATTGCAAATATTCTGCAAAATAACACGGTTCATTATTTATATACGAGGGTTGATCATAGAGTTCTCATAATATCTCTTCAATTTCTTTATTTTTAAATATATTCTAATGAAATTTTCACTGTCTTATTAATTCAGCAAAAATATTTAGTTTAACAGAAATATTAAATAAGAAATGGTTACCATAGTATCTGGAAATCAAGGCACCCGGGGCAAATAAAAATAATTGAGAGAATGAGCTTAATTAACCATGTTTACATACATAATAAACTCTCATGAATTACCAAACACGTTAAAATGTTAACTTGAATATTATGTTGCTAAGTGCTTTAACAATTAAATAAAATGATCATGTAAATTCTGTGATGTCATAGGGGATGCTTTCATGCTTCATTAGATGTGATACCAGAGTCTGAGACTCAAAGCTAATAGATACAATAGATACAGAGATCTTCAGAAAAATAAAATTCATACAGATAAAATGTAATGTTAAGTTTGTAAGATCCTTTGGTCAGACTAAACATGATCTAAAACAAGTATATTGCTCACATGTCAGCAAAATTACACCCTCTGTGTGGTCTGTACATGTTAAATACGATTTAAAGGGGCAAAATCAATTTTCCTCGGGATATTTGACAAAACAGTCATGGGGTCGAGCAGTCACTTCTAATGAAGCATAACAATCATCCATTATGAGATCACACAATTCACATGACCATTATAATAGTTCACAACAGTCAAGAGCACATATTATTTGACAATTTAATTTTGATAGCTTATTTGACAACGGATTATGTATTTAAACATGGTTAACGGGGGCTATTCTAGCTAGTTTTTTTATTTGCCCCAGGTGCCTTGATTTCAAGTTACTATGGCAACCATTTCTTATTTATTTTTTATGTTTCTGTTATTCTAAATATTTTTTGCTGGATTAATAGAACATTCTATGCTGCACATCCTGTGAAAATTTCGTAGGAAAATATTGGAAAATAAAAAAGATAGAGAGATATTATGAGAACTTTATGATCAACCCTCGTATATTCTATATTATTGTTTTTGTGAAAAATTTTTGTTTCTTAGTTCAATTGTTTTTTGTTCCTTTCTACCAATTCTTGAAAATGAAATAAAAGATCTTTCCAAACCTTGTTGGGACAAAATAGCATATACAACATTTTCTTAACAAGATACTTTTTTGATTGGACCAAACTCTCCTTTGCACAATTACAATATTGAGAGACCTAAACACGTAGTGTATATGTCATTTTGTTCCAATGAGGTTCAGATAGATGTTTCATTCCATTCCGAACATATGACACCGAGAGCAAAAAATGTATGATATGTTTTCTAAAACAATATGGAGAAAGGTATATATATTTTTTCAAATTAAATTGTTACCATTCAAAAGATGATCATTAAATTGACGATGTGTAAAATATTCAGAATTTGTTGATGACTGGTTGAAGAGAAACATGTGTTCACTTCGGTTTGCCATGTCGATACCAATCCTTTTCGAATTTTCTCTCTACAGGCCTTGTTGCCCCTTAAATAATATGCTAGGCATTAGTCTTATATGTTTTACTCTAGTCTTTAGAACATACAGATATTTGAATTACATGGCGCTGACCTTATTTAGGTAATCATATTTTGTCACACCTTGACACACGTTAAATCCATTGAAATATTCTCAAAGATAATTTGACTTTTCATGTACATCACTAAGTCTTGTCAGTGTCAAGCAAACAAGGTTACGGTCGTCGCCTTCGCATTCAAGATGTCGGACGGGAAGTATCGATTTCGATATATTTTGGCAAAACTGCCCTAATTCACGTCACCATACTAGTCAATGGGCAAAAGGGCAAACGCCTGACTTTTTATCTCGAGTTATGGATTTATGTGACCTCACTGGCCTATCTGAGGCTCTAAAGCTATGTCTAAGCTACATCTTGACACTAAACTCAATAGGGGCCAAACATCTACTTTTTGAAATATTGGTCAATTGTGACACTACCCCCTCTCTCTGCAGACACAAATTGAAATTCACAAAAATGAAGGCAAAATTAATACGCCACTTGACTCGGAATTTTCCTTCAGATAACCCAAATAAACGCATTTTCAGAAGAAATGGCATGTTGTCATTGCAAAAAGATGACAACTGTGCCTACATACTAGCTTACTGACTCGTCATGATCACAATTGTGTTGGGACTACATTTATTTTTGAATACTACTTTTTTCACTACGGAAGTGACGTATTAGGGCATTTTGGCCTTTAGTTTAATGCAGAAGTGAGTATGTGATCACGTGAACAATCATGAACACGTGCTCTCTCAGTGCCGCGCATACGCAAAGTAAAATTTGAAATCGCGAAAATGGCATCAACATTAGTTCAACATCATCATTTCAAAACTACGGTAATACTTTTGAAATTACTCTATCCAAACTTGTAGAGAATACTTTAGTATAATTCGGTGAAACCTCAAAATATCGAAATCGACACTTCCCGTCCGTCATATTGTATGCGAAGGTGACGGTCGTAACCTTCGCTTAGTGGATACTACTGATCAGTGTACATGGTTTCAAATGTTAAACACAGGTCAAATGAATGCAGGTTATAACTGTTATCACAAATAGAATAAGTCTTACCTGCATCGACTACCTCAATTGCTGGAATTAAATGAAAACTATAATGTTAAATGCTAAAAAGCAGGAAAATAGACGTTTAATTTTATTTTTGTTAGAATCGAAAGGTCCATGTGCAGTATGGCAAGTGATTTTAGACGGTCATATATTTCACCATGAATACTTTCTGGCCATCAATACAGTGTTTTTTATTAAAACAATATGTTTTCTTTCAAGTGAAGTCCCCATGATAGTAAAAATATATCGATCTAACTCTCTGAAAAGAGTATGGCAGTTGGCACTTTTTAAAAATGTTAGGCTCATTTTCTGAAAAGAGGATCTTGTTTTTCTTAATTTAAACATATCGAAAGTTTCTTCTACACTTTATCAACAATTTCTGAAAATGGGATGCGTATTTAAATCCGTTAAAGTTAAAAATCACATATCCCATGTTATTTTCCCATAGGGAAAACACGTGCTATCTATTGTTTTCAGCATAATTTTGGTCATCGAAAATCGGTATCTTCAAAACTAGACTTACAACCATTCACCTTTTGGAGATGTTTTAGACCGCCTGCTGAATAATCTTTTCATGCAATAAAAAACAGTAAAAGAAGATCCTCTTTTGAGTAAATAGGTTCTACGTTTTGAAAAAAATGTTGACATGGGGTCCCTATTCATAATTTTTCGAATTGTTCGACTGAAATTGTTATCATCATGATTACTTCACTTTAAAGATAACATATTGTTTTAATAAAAAACACTGTATTTATGCCCAGAAAGTAGTCGTGGTTATAGAAATAACTGTCTAAAATCACTTGCCATACTGCACTTGGACCAAATTTAGTATTTAATATCTGTGTGTATATTTTGCTCTTTATATTCCCTACCTGTTATATCAGGATATTTAACAAATGCGTTGCAAACGGAGAGCATCACCATCGGCGCCAGTACATGGCACCACATAGTGTTTCTGAAATCAGAATATTGCATGTAACCCAATATAACTAATATAATTTTTGTTGTTCAAAATAGCACCTGTAAAAAAACGTCAATAAAATCACAAGAACTGAAAAATGTAACATTCGTTGTCATGTCATGTCTACGTTCTGGTCTTGAGTGACTGAGGCTAACACCCCAGTCACATTTCCTACGGCGACCTTGCGGTCTATCATTTCTGCGGCCAGTAACATTTCTACGCTCGCCGTGGAATTTCTGCTCTTTCATACTTTTGCAGTCACATTTCCCACGGCAAGTCGCACGGTGAATTTTAAATTTCTGTTGATAAAAATAATACTTTTTTCATTTTATTTACATGAGGACAATTTATAAATGCTATTCATAGTGCTAGGATTAGTATGTATCCAACAGACTGACTGAAACTGCGTGGTATAAATTGAAAACCAATGCGTTCCAATCTATACGGCACATTTATATTTGGATGAAAATACGCAGTTTCGAATATGCATTCCTTGGAACCGCGTGGTTCCAATTTATTCTCTTCATCAGCGGCGACCCGTACCCCAAAGCCAAATGTAATAATGTATTGTATTTTATCCTTGTATTAAAATAAATAAACTATGTCTACCAACGTTCGTCTTCTTTGATATAAAGGTACAATTAAATGCAATATAAAGTAACACAGCATATTGTCAAGAGGAAATAAAGCTAGTTGAAGTAACAAATGTGCAAATTAATTTTACCCATTAGGCCATTTTGAATAGCACTTCCTATGTAAACAAATATTTTGAATTACAAAACTTTAACATAGGTGCCTTATAGTCTGAATATAATTCAGACTAAATAGGATATAGTCTAGTGCTAGGATGTTATATCAAATGAAAAGTGATCGTGAAACATTGACAAATAATGATTCAATCTTGTTGAGCCAGTTGATTTCTACGGGGACCTCAGAAATGAACAAATATTATAACTCCAAATTATAATTTCTACGGCGACTCTGCGGCCTGTAAAAAACTTGATAAGCCGTACGGAGGCCGCAAGGCGAGCGTAGTTTGTCAGTGTTTGTCTACGCTCGCCGCAGAAATTCACTGATTTAATTGATCTGCGGTCGACGCACGGCCTCCGTACGACAAATGTGACTGGGGTGTAGTTTGGCAACTTTTTCCTCCATAGGCTTACGTGTTAAAGCCCCTTTATGTTAAAGTATTTTATTTTGATAACCTGAAAAAACTGATAATATTCTGATATTCAATGGGAGGAGGTTAAGGGAAAAACAATGTTGAATTCTTTCCTACAAAACGTCAAAAGAAAAATAAATATCTCTGAGAAAGAAAATCAACAACTTTGTTAATAGTAATGTTGAATTCATTTCAACATATCGCTACCAATTCTTTGGAGGTATAAGAAAAAGGTCAAGTTGCGTTTCCTTCTGCATTATTTGTTTTTTCTTTGCAGGTTATGAAAATAAGAATTCAAATATAGAGGGTGGGCCAAAAACGCCACTTTTTCAAGACACAATAACTTTTTTATTTTCCAACCTGCATACCCCACATTTTGCAGTTCTATAGTGCCAAGGGTTCTTAGTAATAATATAATGTAACAAGTCCTTCAACTGGGATTATATTTGATCTAAAAGAGGAGTTCAATTGGTCCGCCACCCTATTTGATGATATTTTAGATTTTAGTTTTAGTCGCCTTGCTGATATAGCAGTATCAATGAAATGTAAGCTATATTTTTTTTTTAGTTGAGCAATTTTTTAGATTTTTTAGACCTTCCCATACCCTATACTCATTAGGGCTATTAGCTTGGCGGTCATCAGGACGTATCAGTTCAGGAACATTTTGCAAATTATGCTTATTTCTCATGGCACTCCACATGTTAAAGTGAGACGCTGGTGACATATTTTATTCAAGTAAAAGTGTATAATTCATGATCCTTGGCTAGATAACAACCTCAAGTTTCATTTGGTATGCAAATTATGATTTTTCATCAAATTGAAAAAGTTATAGCATTTTGAAAAAAAAGCGTTTTTTGGCCCACCCTGTAGAGAGACGCGCAAGCCTATGGGCAAAATATGTTGCCAAACCTATGACATCAAAAGTCGAACATTTTCGGCACTAGACATAAACTATCTCAGATAACAGAGAATAGTTGATAAAAGCTCCAACTTGGCGGTAAGACTTCTCAAGTACATTAAATTACGTCAATGAAAAATCTGAGAACTTCATCGGTTGCATTGGGCGTATTGATTCGAACCCACGTGCAGTGAAATTTTGTAAACAGAATTTACTCAGAATCTCTTTCATGGGTTATTCTTCTGGTATCTAATGATTTTCGAAAGATTTTGACAAAATAATGTTTAGTAACATAAAAGAATAGTACGTATCTATGATTATGGGCTGCCAAAATGTGAATAAAAATAGCCGTTGTATCAGGCGATATATTCCCCCAAATACACATACGTCTCTACAGAAAGAAAAAGCAGATGCAGAATGTAGATATCCCTCTAGAATGAGCGAGGCTCTATTCGGATTTCAGCCAAAATCCATATGACGACGAGAACAATTGTATTCTTTAGGACTTCTTTGACAACAGGCTCTCATCATATGTCTATGTCAATAATCTGCAAAAGGCTAATACGCCCATATAAAGCAGATATATATATAAGGGTTATGTACTGGGAGGTTTTGGATATAGGGTATATCCTGGGGGATATGTTTATATCTCCCCGAGGGACCGAAGGGACCAAGGGGAGATATAAATATTTCCCGAGGGATATACCCTATATCCAAAACCGACCGTACATAACTGGTGTATCTCATACTTGAGTGGGTTTGGGGTAGATATAACCTTTACCACCTTTTTCAAATGACAAGATAGGCCTATACTGTAAAAGCAAAATTTATATTTAACATTTTCATAATATTCTTTCTTTATTATTATTATTAGATTTATTTCCCCTCCATTGATTGGAGATAATATAATAATTATATATTACAGAAATATTAAAACTTGTATCAAAATTTAAGTTACAATAGAAAAGATAGAGCTCTTCTAACTCAAATAATAATTATATATAAGCTCTTAGAGCTGACATGTATGGTACACAGGGAAACTCGTAGCTTGGATCCGCAGACCATTTTGACAACACACTTGTATTCATATTTGACGTTTTTCAGTTTACTGACGTTCCATCGATCACACGGTGTTCAATCACACACTCAAGTACGGGGACAATCAACGGGAAGGTTCATATATATCTATGAGTCTATACTAATCCCATGCTGTTCCTACATATTGACTTTAATCCTGGCGAGATACATGTTCTGTATAATCGTGCTACCACGTTTAAGTCCACTTTCATTAATACACTGGTCTCCCCCAAAGAGAGCTCGCAGTTTCATAGCATTTGACATTGCACTAATGTTTGGTATTCCATCTAAAATCGAACTTAATGTAACCCTATTGTGGAGCCGACATTTTAAAACAAAGTGTTCGAGCGTTTCAATCTCTTCATTGCAGCTTTCGCAGAATCTATCTCTCATCGGTATTCCTTCCCATTCGCCTGTGTTTACCCTTAAACGGCCTTGTCCTACCATTAGTCGCATCATTAAGTTACATCTCTTTATGAATCTTGAATCTTTCCTGGCTATTATCCACCATTTATATCCAAAGAACATGTGTACGTTTAATAGATTTTATTACATAAAATATAACATATTACAATTTAACATTTTTGGCATGGGGAGACGGCTATCTATCGATCAGAGCTTGCGTAATTGTATACCAAAGAAACGATTACGTAATCATGAGATAATGTTACGTAATGACAGCGCAAAATCATGATTATGCAACCTTATATAATCATTAATCTTTGGGATAAGAGAGACCATAGAGGACCGAGTGCTGAGATAGATAGCCGCCTCCGAAATCCGGGCCACCCGATACCCCCTATTAAGGGGGCGAAGGGGTGGGGGCGGGTAAGCGTCCGACTTCCTCAAGATGCAAGCTAAAACTGTGTAAACCAAACTACTACAGAACAGTTGGTATAGCATTAAGATAAGTTATTGTCCCGGCCTAATTGGATCTGTCAACAGACTTTTAATTGGGCTGGTAGGACAGACACCGTTCTCTGTGATATAAACCAGATTTAACAAATACTTGTTAAATCACAATTTATATCCAAAGAACATGTGTACGTTTGATAGATTTTATTACATAAAATATAACATATTACAATTTAACATTTTTGGCATGGGGAGACGGCTATCTATCGATCAGAGCTTGCGTAATTGTATACCAAAGAAACGATTACGTAATCATGAGATAATGTTACGTAATGACAGCGCAAAATCATGATTATGCAACCTTATATAATCATTAATCTTTGGGATAAGAGCCCAAAAACGAGTATACTCGTGAACGGAGTTTAAATAAAAAGCTCTGTGAACGATAGGATACGCCGTTCCCCAACCATATACATGGTTTCACATTGTGGATAACTTCCTTATAGAGAATCAGTTCCTTATAAGTATTAACCTCGCGTCTCCAACCATCCAAATCGCAATTCCGTATAATGTTCCGAACAGTTTCAGTTTCAGTTCAATACAATAGAATTGTAACATTTAAACTTTTTGAAAAATGTTAAACTTCTGAAATTTAAATTTTAAAAATTTTTAAACTTTTTAAAACTTTTGAAAAAATTCCCTGGAGCGGGATGGATATATTATATCTGCCCGCATTTGGCCTAGAGCGGGACATATACAATATATCCTGCCCGCTCCTCAGATATGATATATATTCCCGGGTGATATCTACCCCAAACCCACTCAAGTATGAAATACAGCTGTATACGCTATGTATGTCTCTAGGGTTCATCTGTAAGATTGCTTGGAATCTTCGACCGCTTAGTGTCTCTCCAGTGGCCAGGATATGGGTTGGTAACTTGACTTTACATCTCGAATCGTATGTGTTACATTGTGCCACAAATCATGCTACAGTGTATGCACGTTTTTACTTTATCCCATACGAGCGTAATTTCAATGGTTAATCCATTCATTCGATTGATATTTACCGTAATCCGTTCGAGTGTCTAGTTTATGTTATCTTTAACACAATCTGTGTCTGTTTGAATGTGTGTATCTCCCCTCAACAAATAGCTATCAGAAACCCTAACATCGATATTGTCATCACTTCAGAAACTTATACACGTGTTATACTATTTAGTTGAACTGGCAGTCCTTTTATTTAGAGAGAACGAATCTTTGAAGTTCAAGATTGAAGAATCAAACGAGCTCAAGTGGACTTCACATCTATTGTTAAGAAGCAGGGAGTTCTTTAAGATGGCCGTGACTGACGCAAAATGTAAATTAAATTTCCTCCATAAGTAACATTTGAACTAGCATATTTGATCCATTTTAATATTACATGCATATCTGTCATTGAAGTACAGAGCAAGAGCGGCGCACAATAATCGCTCTACACTGAGGGAATACACAGCAACGAGCCTGCATTTATTAACTATTTGTAAACGGAATGTCTGAAAGAATGGTGTTCAACAACCAACAAAACGACATTCACCAACCTCCGGCAGGGTGTTCTGTCACAGATGCTCCAATGCGGATAAAACTGGTTGGTGCGCATGCGTATACAGCTTAAAGTGCTCTCCCGGCCAGGCACGACCTTGCACGCGATAGATCTACATCAGTTATATAGAGGCACACATCCAAAGTTTCCCTGACACTAAATTGGAACAGTTTTAGCGACTCCTACGTTTTTCTAGACATGTTCAATATATTTGTAATATGATCCGAGTTTGATATGGTAGTTTGTTATGTCACTACCAAAAGTGGTGACATGTTGTTATGGTCTCCAACTTTTTTGTTACGGCGGTCGGCGTCTGGCGTTTGGCGTCTGTAACAAATTCTTACAACTTCCAATAACTTAACAATAACTGTTTTGTTTGACTTATCTTTTTTTTCAAAATCATCTACAAGTTCTCAGAAGTTCAAATCTGACTTAAGGTTTGAGATTTTTGACCTTCAAAGACTTTCTCAAAGTAAAAAAGGTCAACTTTTCAAATTGACCAATTTATTTTTCAAAATCATCATCAGTTGTCAGAAGTTCAGATTTGACATATGATTTGACCTTCTCAAGGTCAAAAACTCTCAGTTCTCATTTAAGTTCAAATCCGACTTTAGATTTGAACTCACAATATGTAACCAACTAGGCGGTGACAATTTGTCATTTTACTGCCTTATCTAAAAGTGGTTGCATGTGAGAATACACATCACATCATATCACATGATTAGACTTCATGTGTTTGGTAAATGATCGAATGTTGATGCAGAAAATATTCCCTGGAAGCTAATTCTTGAGAATTTTAAATGTTAACCTGAAGATTATCTCGGTCACGATGTTAAAAACTTACAGTAACTGTTAACGTTCCAATAATTGGTTTAGATAGAATAAGATTATTCTTTCTGTACTTTTTCTTTATCATGGATCACACATTCATATTGTTAGTGATTTTACAATTACTTTACGTTATAACTGTCAGAAGAGATTATTTCTCTCATAACAGTAAGTGAATCAGTAATTAATTAAGTGTCACAAAATTAGAGGTAAAAACTATGCATTGCATTAACTTTAAACTATGTTGCGTTTACAATTACCTCACAATCAAAATTTGAAATGTATTTTCTTATTTCATGACCATTCACAATTTCCTATCTAATTTGATTAATTAGTTTTAAAATTATATTATTAAAAAATCATAAAATAATTAAGTCATCAAAATTGTCTACAATCAATGTTGATTTAAGACCATATTTATTTCTTCAGTGCATATTTCAGTTATCTAATTTAGCAGATAAAGGAATCGAACTCACCTATAAAAGTCACAAACTGACCCGTAAACGAAACAAGGTATATATTCCAAATAAAAGCATATGCTGCATTTAACTAGGACTCACAACGTATCGTATCCAATGCGAAAACTAACAATTAAAAATGAAGTAAACAATCATGGGATTGAAATGCCCCCATCATGTAAATAAAGAACGATTATAGCCTCTACTACCCCTAGGGTAGTGCTAGATCATATGTTGACTGTTGTATACGGTGCTTTATTTGCTTACATCTACATGTATTGTGTATATGGTAAAGGTGGTTAAAGGTGACACTTTTCGAACGGACAGATGACTATTCAAAGCAAGGCTACGTCGCGGACCAGTCAATACAAGGGCACGATAATTGATATTTTCAAAATCAGTTGTTTTACTGAAGCCTGTGCTGTGTGTGTTGATACCAGGTACATTTGAAGTGCGCTATTTTAAAGTCACCACAACTGGTTATCATAATCAAGCGATGTATACTGAAAATATTGCTTATTATTTCTCAAGAACAGCTTAAATCATGATTTATTGTCAGAAATTGTTTGTGGTGATACAAAACCGGCCGTTTACAGTGCATACAGAGCATCGATTGCGTTGATATTTTTCATACTACATAAAAATATGTTTGACATCAGGTTTTAAAAGGGCGATGTTAGATGTGTGTTGCCCATGCAATGAAATGCTTTTTCTATGCATATAACATTTGTCTAATATTTTTTATCCACCAACACACTGTTAAAATTAACATTGCTGATACATCGTTTGTTTGAGATTTCGCCAGAAAGTTCCCTTCATGGTTACCTCTTAAATGACAGACAATGAAAACTTTAAACAAAATATTGTTATTTTTGTAGTGGAGTTAGGTTCTGCTGACCTATATTTTGTATCCTCCAAACATTAAGATTTAATGAATGCACACAAATTATTTCAAACAATTCTTTTCAGAAATTAGACTAATTCAACGTAGTTTTTAAATGATTGTTATATAAATTCTCAATTAATTCGAAATTTTTAGTAAATTGAATATGTTGAGTATGTGTTGAAGGATACAAAACACATGGACATTATAAAACGTGTTCGCTTTTAATGAGTACGACATATCAAACAACCCCTTTTGAGAGATGGTGGAAAACATATTTTATTAACCAGTTAGAAATCATCGACGGACTTGATGCAAAATCATATGATTTTCTAATTATCCCATAGTTGAGGTCAAATCATCCCATATCACCTCACATTGGCGAGAGTTTTCAAATCCGTGGAAAAAGTGATATCTGTGGAATATTCCCTTCTCCGTATTCCACAGATATCGCTTTTTTCCACGCATTTGCAAAATATCATAAAGATATTTATAGGATATCCTATGATTTTGAGGAATATCATTTTTATCTACGAGGTGATATTGATATCTGCACGAGAGAGCGAAACGAACGAGTGCATATATCAATATCACCGAGTATATCGTCACAATATCCTCCGCATATTGGGTTTTCCGGAGTATATCGTCACGATATCCTCCGCCCGGAGTATATCGTTACGATATCCTCCGGATATTCATTTTGCCAATAAATATCAAATTTATTTTTTCATGTTATTATACATTTAGTACACTAAGTGTAGGATGAATACGTGTTATTCTACAGATTTGACGTCAACTATGGGATAATAAGCAATATGTTCAATATATATTGCATGGTCATGGTAAACAGTTGTGTTGACAGCACAATAGCACATACACTCCCCTCCCATAAGTTTGGCAACCTTTTTTCCTCATTGAACTACGTGTAAAGCCTCTTTACCTTTGAATTTTTATTTACCTAACCTGCGATGAAAATACTTATACTATTGATGGAAACATAATTTGACTTTAATTCCAATACCTCCAAATTTTCTCAATTTTTTTTCTCAATTACAATAGGTCGAAAATTGATGATAAATTTGATGAATTTTTGAAAATCGACATTCCCATGTTAACCAATGGGAAATGGTAGGTTTGCCGCAAGTCATATGACAGAATATCCATCCATCCGAGTCCTTGCAAAAAATACGAGTAAGGCAGGCAATTGAATTTGCTAACTTTATTTAACAAAAAATTGATATGTTTTTTCAGGTTCAACAAAGTTATAGGGCTTTAAAGTCAAAGTTGTTTTTCAAAAAAACTCTCCCATTGAAATAACACAGGAGGCGAAAAATTATTTTCAAAAATGACTTTGAAGCACTGTAACTTTTATATTCATCAAATAAACTAAACACTTAGTGTTTTAAAAAGTTAGACAATTCAATTTTCTATATAAATTTTTTTTTTGCTGAATCTTTTACTGAAAAGATATCCTGATTTCTGATTTGCCCCGAACCCTCCATTTCCCATTGGATTACATGGGAATGACGATTTTCAAAAATTCATCAAATTTATCATCAATTTTTGACCTATTGTAATTGAGGAAAAAAATTGAGAAAATGTGGATGTATTGGAAATAAGGTCAAGTTACGTTTCCATCAATATTATAAGTTATTTCATCGCCGGTTAAGTAAATTAAAATTCAAAGGTAAGGAGGCTTTAACACGTAGTTCAAATGGGAAAAAAGGTTGCCAAACTTATGGAGGGGAGTGTATATAGTGTCGTTGATCTCAATACACATGGCGCTGGATGCGGTAGAATAGCATCGTAAATTTGCCCAAAAATACTTAAAAAAACGCAATTCAGAAGTTTTCAGTCAGAGCGCTTAGAAAATATTCGTGTTAGTGGTGGTATATTTATTCTATTGTGACTGCTTTTAGAACCACGAATTTTCTTGAAATAAGCGATAAAGCCTATATAAATATGGTTAGTTTACCCGCCCAAAGAATGCACGTGTAGTTAACGGGTGTGTAGGCGTTAATTACGCTCGTGTAGATGTAAAATTACGCCCGTGCAGACGAAAAATTACGCCTGTATAGGCGTAAATTACGCCCGTGAAGAAGTAAATTCTACGGGCGTTCAGAATACATTTACAGGCGTGAACTTACGGCGTTAAAATTATTAATTACGGGCGTTAAGACTGTTATTTTACACGCGCTGAGAAACATCTTCACACCCGTCGAGTTTATTTTTAGCGGCGTAAATTATGAACCAATCAGAACCTTACTTACATAATGATTTAACGCATCCTTGCTAAAAGAGCAACTCCGAGATACTTGCGCAAGTAAACAACAATCAGAAGCCTGCTTATATTTTAGTGTGTTGCATTGAGGTCCTTAATTAAATATTCGTTCAAGATGGTTAGATTTCACCAAAGAAGTATTTTTAGAGCAGATTAAAAGGCAAATTGAAGAGACATGTACTGTGTTGGCAGTTATCAACACCCATTGTAGAAACAAAATTGCAGTGTATTTTGAGAAGGTATACATGTTTGGTTTCTAAATACGATGATTTTTTTTGATAATTCTCTAATCTAGGCGTCGGCTTCAGAGGTAGGCTAGGTAGGGACTTATTAAGCTCACACGCATTGCAGCTTACAGTCTCATTATACAGTCAGATCGCTAATGTATCTCTCTAAAGGATGTGTTACTAGAATTATAGTATCTGATCAACTGCAAATTGACTCTAGACTATATCCTGCAGATCTTGCATTTTTTGAAAATGTACTGAAAATGTCAGATGAGCCTATATACCTAGTATACCAAGCCAACATACGTTCAAATTTGGTGTTAGGGAGATGTGTACATATGTACTTTTTGGAATCTTTATGCAGCCGTCTTTATATGTCACATGTTATTTCCAGGAATACATAACTCATTTAATATATGATGTACATCTTTCACATTTGCACAAATAGTGCACCGAGATACCCAGAAAAGAAATAATATTTCATATGCCTTCAATTGCAACAGTTGTTCCTGGCACAATCATGAGTATGTTATTAACTTGCACAAGGATCTTGGAGTTGTACTTTTAGCTAGAATGCATTGTATCATCATGTAAGCAAGATGCTGATTGGTTCATAATTCACAGTGCTAAAATGAACTCGACGGGCGTATAGATGTTTTTCAACGGGTGTTAGATAATGTTTTTACGCCCGCTATTGAACATTTTAACGCCGTTGGTTTACGCCTGTATTTGTTTTAACGCGTAATTAACGGGCGTAATTAACGCCTTAATGGGCGTAATTAACGCCTACACGGGCGTAAATTACGTCTGCACGGGCGTAATTTCACGTCTACACGGGCGTAATTAACGCCTACACACCCGTAAACTACACGTGGATACTTTGGTTAGGTTGGCTCACCATATATAAAGGCACAGATCCCGGATAGTTCGCGATGTTCTCCTTTTATGGCAAGTTTTAATCCGGGTTTTAATTTGCACTCGCTGAACAACAATGTTTTAAATAAAATGAGCACTATTAGGAGCATCGATCAACTTTGTAAACATACATTGTGTGCAAGTTATTTGCTCATAGAATAAGCTGACTATTTTTATTCAATCAAAAGTGTGTTTCGCACATGGTTTTGCACATTGCGATCGTGTCCGAGATTATACGACCAGTTTTATTCTATATTTGCAATGTGCATTTCTTATCAATTACAATCCTTGACCCTTTAGAGTAGATATCTCTCTGGACAGCAAGCCTTGAGTGGACCGTGTTACCTTTAGCCATCGTGTAGTTTCACATGTTAGGTTGGAGAAGATCAGTCAAGTCTCTATATTGTCTTTATTCCAATTAATCAGATACAGTTAACATTTGACTACTACTAACTTAAGATCCATTCTTTATGAGTCCATTCTATGACTAACCATCACTGTACCATCTCCCAAATTGGCAATATGTAACTTAACCAGAGTTTCCTAGTAGTACTAAATAGAGTATTCCAATAAAATTATGACATCGAAGATCAAAATTTGACTGAATATTATCCATACTGGAACTGGTATATGATAATTCAATGTTCGATAATTCGATAAGATGTTCGGATCCTATTTCTTATTCTCGTATGATGTGGGAACTCCTGGTGCAGGACCTCCAAATACCCAGTCAACTGCACCCTGTCCTGATGGTGGATAATAACATACTACAATCTGAAATAAACAAAAATCATATCATTACACGATCATAACCTTAAGTTACTTAATTTTTATATTGAGTTATTCGTAGAGGAATGACACGCAAGTATCGATTCATTGACATTTATTAATAATGTTACTTGTAATAATAAAGTTTAACGGCATAGCTTATGTTCTTTTCTTACATCAGTGAAGAATCCTGCAGTCTGCCCGAACTGGAGTGGAAGTCTAGTCCCATCTAGCGCCCCTATAATATTGTCATACTTGTGGTTATTCTCGTGTGGTTAAAAAATAATTCATTAGAAATTGGTCCGATGTAAATCAAAATATTTGATCAATTATCTTTTTTCTTAACAGATTCTCGATCAAAATACTCTTTATAATATGAAAATAAAAACCAGTTATGATAAGGGCTATATCGTATTCCATGTGTATCTTGTATTATAATTCGCAGTGTTATGTTAATGGAAAGTCCAAATACGTTCAAATATCAAATATTAACAATAACATTTAAACCACCTTCAAATTATCGAATTGTAAACCAAATCTAAATACCCGACTATAACTACCATATTAAATAAACTACATAATATATAGTCAGTGTATGGCTGGAATATAAAGAAGTTATTCACCAGGAGGAAAATGATATGGGGAATATCACTAGGATGATATCAATACTTCCCAAGGGAACGGAGAGACCGAGTCATGTCGGGATCCCATATCATCCCGACAGGTGAATAACGACCTTATACCATGGTCAAGAGCAACATCTCTACTTCACAAATCATCTGTTTGATAAGAAAACAATAAATTAATTTTGGAAATATTAACGTTACATGTATTTTATTAAATGTCAAAACATAAATAAACGACTAGACTAGAAATGAATGTCACTCTTCGTGACTCTTTATGACACTCTTTGTCTTTCAGGAGGTGTTCTCACTGTTCAAATGTTAAGTTATGTTATTACAAAAATTGTGACAATTTCTTCAAAACGTCCTTTGGAAATTAGTTATTTATAGATAGCTTCAATGTCAAAAGATTTCCCCGGGTGGGATGATATCGATATCAAACCTGATATCATCCCTATCCCAAATATGTGATTTATCATTTGCACTGGCGGATCTGGTGGGGGGCTGCCCCCTCCCCTTGGGTGGGCCCAGAAAAAAAATTGGGCCCAAAAAATATTTTGGGCCAAAAAAGCCTTGAGACCCTAAAAGTGGGGCTTTTTGGTCATTATTGGGCCTTTTAAGGCCTTATCTTTTAATTTCAGGCCAAACTTTAAAGAACATGGGCCTCAAAATTCAAAAATAATTTTTTTCTCTGACCGGAAATTTGGCTCCAGATCCAGGTCTTTATTGGTTCCCAGATCCACCCCTGACTTGGTGTTACATACCTGATATTGCTCTGACCATGGTAAAAAGAATCACATATTCATACCAGACGCCAATATCATCCCAAGGTTATAGTCTTGGTACACCAATGAACCTTTGATATACTTACATTTAAATCAATGTTATTATAATGGAAACCATAATCCGACGAGACCATATTTTCTCGTACGCCAGGATGTTAATGGAAGCGTTGATCATGAGCCCTAATTTTGGCACAAGACAACTGAGCTCGTTATTTGATAACTGCATGTATTCGACTTTCTCCAATCAGTAAATAACTTAAGACCAACGACACTTCGAAGTTGTACTCAAAGTAACTTTGGTCAAACGCCGATCAGAAGAAGGTACGCGTGCAGCGATCATAACATACCCGCTAATCATACCAAGTACGTATGCACGGCAATGCACGTGCAATACTGAGATACACGTGGATGTGCAAGTACGTATGCACGGCAATGCACTTGCAATTCTGAGATACACGTGGATGTGCACGACTGATTTATGTTGTACTCACATGTGAATGGAGGATTAACTTGGTCTTCGTCCATATCTTGATTAATGAATTTTATAATTCCTCCTACACTCATATACAGAAAATAACGTTTCTGGAATAATATAGTCCTCGACGTTTATTAGAAATAATATATTATGAAAAATAAGACTGGCCAGCACCAATTTATTATGTTGTGGGCATATCTAAAATATAATTCAGATACTCTTTATGGTTTGTTCAGAGTAAGTTTTGTAAATATTTTGTTCATCTACTGTGCTAATATTAAGAGCAATATCAATTACATCAGACATGTTTCAATGACAAGTTTAACAAAAAGACTAAACCATCACCAGCTCAAGTCATGTCATTGAAACATGCCACTCAGTGAAATTGATATTACTAACATACCATCGATCTTTCATATGACATGCGCAGACCATCCACTCATACCTATATTTCGTCCAGTCATAACACTGAACGCAACACGGTCCAAGTAGAAAGCAACAGCACACTAAGATCAATGATAGATAGCACTTACATGTGAAAGGAGGCGAAGTTATTTCTTCGTCCAGGTCCTGGTTTTGGAAGATGATATATCCATCATTATCCATCCAAAGAAAATATCGTTTCTACAATATATGACATTAAGAATTAGTGATCGTGCTACAAATTGGGCAATCTAAAAAGTTAGTGCTTACAATAGTTGCTTGCATCACTGTTGTAGAACAAACTGGCTACTGAAACAGGATCCGTTTTGGTAACAAAATGGAGCAGCCTTGGAAGTAAGATTTTTCCAATATCCAGGATTTTACTCGTTGTAGGCAGAATCTTCATGGCCTTTATGGCACAAACGTGTGTCAGCATCATATGTTGGGTTCGCATTCGCAAACGTTTAGATTTTCTTAAACATAAGATTCTGACACACGTTTGTACCCGCAAGTCGAGAAAATTATCCCTACATCTAGTAAAATCATGGAAAAATAAAATCGAAATTTCGAGGCTGCTCCGTTTTTTTGCACGGGTCGCAAACAATTTATAGAGTTCCACCGTAAATACAAATACACGCCGTATATGATCCAGAAGTAGCATCAAAGATGTTGCCATTTAAATACTCCTCCAATCTTCTTGGAACTTGGCACATATAAGTCAAATAAGCATTATGCAGAACTACGACCTCTAAATTAAAGATCTGACTATATGAATGCTACGTGTACTAGATATCATGGTTACTATGGTAACCCAGTGTCGACAACGAGGTCAATGAAAATTGAACATTTGAAAAATACTATCTATATAAGTTCATTCTTAAGACTAATTTGTTGACAAATCAGGAATATGGAGTAGATGTACATATGTAGGCGTTGAGGTCTTTTGGCTAATGTACTATTCTCTCTGCTCAATTAAATCTACAATATTTGTCGTAATTAACATACTGAAAAACGTTAAATAAGAATTAATGCATTAAATGTATTAATGATCAAAGTTAAGAGGAAATATTTGTGTGTCTGAATTTGACAACTAAGTTATGTGTGAGAAACATCTGGACCAAATGTCAGTAAGATTGATATTGTCGAATTCAATAGGTAAGATCTTTCATCTTACTTCCGGATCACCCTGTAAACATGGAAGGATAGAATACACGATGTCTGTTGAAGTAAGGGGCAAGTAAGGGAAAGGTTCAACGAGTGAAGTCCAATCAAGTTATTTATAACGTGAGACTCAATTAGATGCCAAGGAGAAACATTTTGGAAATCTTCACAGTCTGAATTTATAAGTATGGTAAAGATTAATACAGTATTACAATGTACAGATACAATAAAAATGACATCAGGGCATATGTTTTTTATGTGATATGTCCTAGATATTTTGGCCTATTATTGCAATATGAATACGTGTCGTTATTTGACTATATACCACAATAGGAAATCGTTAAAATGAGTAATTTTCAATTTCAAATTAAACATGAAATCGTTAAATAGGCCTTACCGCACCGCCATCCATGATATATGGGACGGATAATGATACAGTCCCTTGGTCTGCAGTCAGTGTGGCAATGACATTATCGCCTTCCTTCTTGAATTCAATAGACGAGGGAACATCATCGTTACCATTGGAAACAAGGACTCCATCAGCAGCGTTACTGCATTAAAAAACACCTAGTTACGATCATAGTGAATACGACTACGATCTAATGTTTTGTATAATTGGATCATCTGACTGAGACACCCTCATTTTGGCTTTAGCCTACAGTAAAGGCACACTTACTCAACGGCAAATCCAATGCCCCAGCCACGACCGAGCCATTGCTTTTGCAGCATATCTAAATGTGCTGGCTCTCCTTCACCAGAGCATTCAATGCCACTCCTGTCGTTTGGACGGATGGTACATTCCCCGTTGGAAATTATACCCGAGTTGGTTTCGTCCTCAAGTGGTGTCTCTGGCCAGAATGGGAAGAAATAACAATCGACATCTACATGAAGATTAAAGAAATCACATACATACAATATTAGGCATGGGGACAAAAAGACGGCTGTATAAACATGATCTCATATTGTCCGGACATGATCGGACACCAAGGGAGAGCAAAATAGTGTCGTCTTCGGACATAAATCGACGTCCGAATATTTCCATCAGAGATCAATAAACATTGTCCATCGTTGTCCTGTTTTGTCCGTTTAAGTCCGATTAAAAAGTGAACAGGTTAATTCTTTTCAATGGAAATGGCATAACAGGACAACATTGAACCCCGGGCATTGAACATTTTCCAGTGGACAACAGCTAGCGGACGACCGAAGACAAATTCGGACAAAACGGATAAAGCTGGGCAATGTCCGACAAGTGTACGACTAGCTGCACCAATCGGTGCAGCGCCGGACAATATTCGACATACTGTATAACACTAGGTCCTATTTTGTCCGATGATTTCCTGTTTTGAACAATGATGTCTGGAGTACTGCGCCATTTTGTAAGAAAGGGTCATATGATCCGAATGATCGTCACGTGATTAAATGGTCTTCATTTGTCCGGTAATGTCCATTACAATAATGAATTAACATTTTCATTCTTTTTATCGAGCATAAACGGACAAAATCGGACAAGAACGGACAATGTCCGGCGGACAACCTCGGACAAAATAGGAGAATGTCCGGGCTTGTCCGCTATTTTACTTTAATAACTCTCGAGATCACTTCTTAACTTCTTACTATTGAAAATGAATTTTATTAATTCTATACAACATGAATCTACTTGTTGAGACTAGATCAACTTGAGTTCTCTGGGAAAAAAGAGGATTTCAACAAGGGTGCATTGACTTAACATGGGGTTGACAATTGACTAAGTTGATTGTTACTCAAGAAATACATTCATGCGGGACAGTATTGCCAGAATCCATTTTCAATGATAAGAATAGCACTGGTCAGTATCAAGCGAAGTGACGGCCGTCACCTTTGCATCAAAGATGGCGGACGGGAAGTGTCGATTTAGGAAGTTTTCGTTTTCATCGAATTAAACTACTTTATAGTTGACGTAATGCTTCTATATTTGAACTAAATCCGACTTACATGACATGGAAACTCTGTGGTATGACCATTTGTTCATATGTCATGCGTGGGCGCCACTGTTTAACGATATCTTTCACCGCTTAAGGGAAGATAACTGTAATTTGGGTTTTACAGATGATAAGATATATAACTGATATGCAGTGGTACGGTAAAGTATTGAGGAACTTCTTTTGTAATACATTACATTGAAATAAATAAATATGAGTAAATAAAAAACCGGTAACGTTATGAGAGTGTATAATAGAGAGCTAAGATGTCAAGTTACCGTGTATTGAGAACTAACATGACCGTTACCGTATCTCACATTTCCGGTTACCTTCCCTTAAGCGGTAGAAGACGTCGTTGAAATGTGGCACCCATGCATGATATATGAACAAATTATCATATTCCATAGTTCCCATGTCATATAAGTCTGATTTGGTTGAAATATCAAAGCATTACGTCAACTAAAAAGTAGTTTAATTCGATGAAGACTAAAAATATCTAAATCGACACTTCTCGTCCGCCATCTTTGATGCGAAGGTGACGGTCGTTACTGGCCAGTGAATAGGGGATCTTGAACAGGACAGTAAGCTTAAATAAGGCATTTTTGAAATTTTGGGTTAGCACTAAAAGGGCCATATAAAAGTTAGATCTTTATTTCAATAGTCTACTTACACCAAGGTTCAGAGATACAAGTACAGGTCTGGCGATCGAAGACACCGTCATTAGGGCAAAAGAAATCTTCGCCACAGTATGTATAACCGGAAAAATTTGCCCATATTGTATAAGGAGGGCCAAATCCCTGTGTGCAATCGCCAGGATCATCTTTTGACGGATATGAGATACACGGCTGGCAACATTCTATACAAAAAAAGAAAATACCATCATACAATGTACATGACAACAACTTTCTGATGTGTGTGCGATTAGGTCATTTAAAACAGGGCGTTCATTAATCATTGCTAATTTTGCTATATATTAAAGTTTTCTTTTCGTGCACTTATTTTCATGAAACTGTCACTACATAAGAAACATATATCTGACCGTTTTCTATTAAAATTTCCTGACAGTATTGACAAAGGTATGGTTACTATGGTAACCAATGTCATTGGTATGGGGGCAAAGTTCTAACGTCACTTTTGGACGGAATTTCTACACCACATAACCGAAGACAATTCGGGTTGGATATCCTCCCAGTTATTACATATTGTGATATCATAGCTCTTTGTTACTCAAAACTGACAGCATCAAGATTCGACCATATTAGCCTTTCCCAATGTCCATGATGATATCTAGTAGGACTAAGGACATCTTGAAGTCTAGACCAAATCATAGTTTTGGTCTAGACTTTTCTAGTTTTTATTCATCAAAAATGTTTATTTGATGTACAATAATGATTTATCAGGTTGCCCCCATTACCATGACAATGGTTACCATGGTAATCATAACTTTGTCAATGCTAAATATTGTCAGGAGATTTTAATAGAATACAGGTCAGATATATGTCCCTCAAGTTGTGAAAGTTTCATAAAAAAGCAAGAGAAGAAAAGTTATATAGCAAAACTAGCAATACTTATTTTACTTGTAAGACTATAATTTCATGTGAATGAAGTCTAAGGTAGTATTTGCGAACTCAACTGCCGACTGGCGGATTAACATACTATTTTATGACCAACTCATTAAAATATGAATATAATAGTTGCAGGTGCTATTCATATCTAAATGTGTTGGTCATAAACTTGTAGGTTAAACTGTCAGCCGTCAGTTGAATTCGCGAATACTACGCAGGGCCGTCAGATGGGGGGGTGCGATGGGTGCGACCGCACCCCCCTTTGTCACCCCCAAAATAAATTTGAAAAAAAAAATTGAAAATTTTTTTTTTTGAAAAATATTTTTTTTGTAATTTTTTTTTCATTGACTCATACACTTTGAAAGTACCCAGAAAGCACCAAATAGCATCTTAAAATTGTAAAACTTTCTAGGGGTATTGGCCACCCCTAACACCCCCCACAAAACAATGGAAAAGTTCTAAATTTATTTTAGTGTTTTGTGTCAGACACTTTTAAAGTGCCCAGACATCATCAAATAGCTCCTTGATATAATTAGTGTTTCTGGGGGACTTGCTCCCCCTCTTGCATCTTGCACTTGCATAGACCCCCCCCCTCTGGTGCCCCCCCTTGACCCCCCCCAAAAAAAATTGTGATTTTCTCAAATTCTTTAATTGACTCATACACTTTGAAAGTGCCCAGAAAGCACCAAATAGCGTTGTAAAATTGTAAAATTTTCTAGGGGGAGTGGGCCACCCCTCACACCCCAAACAAAACAATGGAAAAGTTCTGAATTTGTTTTATGTACTGTGTCAGACACTTTTAAATTGCCCAGACACTTTTAAATTGCCCTCCCCCCTTAAGACCCCCCCCCCAAAATTGACTTTATTGACTAAAGTGCCCAGAAAGCACCAAAAAGCATCTTAAAATTGTAAAATTTTCTTGGGAAATTGGCACTTTTAGGCACAGACACTTTTAAAGTGCCCAAACTTCATCGAATAGCACCTTGATATTGTAAATTTTGATATGGGGGACAAACACTTGCTCCCCCTCTGGCACCCCCCCCCCCCCCCCCCCTTTGACACCCCCAAAATTTGAAAAAAATTGTGATTGTTTTTCACTGTTTTTATTGACTAATACACTTTAAAAGTGCCCAGAAGCACCAAATATCATATTTGAATTGTAAAATTTTCTAGGAGAGTTAGCCACCCCTCACATCTCCCACAAAACAAAAGAAAATATTCTGAATTTCATGTATTGTCTCAGACATTTTTTAAGTGCCCAGACATCATCAAATAGCACCTTGATATGGTCAATGTTTCTGAGAGACAACCCCTTGCTCCCCTACTGGCACCACACCCCACTTCACCCTCTCATCCACTTTGACACCCTCAAAAGAATTTGAAAAAATACACATTTTTCTTATTGACTCATAACGCACAGGCGTACCAGATGGTTGCAAATTCGCTCCAAATACAACCAAATTTCAAAAATTTCCCGGGGGAGAACCCCCAGACCCCCCTGAATGCTCGGTTTTTTATTCACTCAACTCTTATTCCCATGGTGGTGGCGTGCTACTTGGAAACTTACACTTTGAAAGTGCCCAAAAAGCACAAAATAGCATCTCAAAACTGTAAAATTTTCTAGGGGGAGTGGACCACTCCTCACACCCCCCACAAAACAATTGGAACTTTTGGAAGTTGCATTTGTTAATTCCAAACCACAGGCCTGTCAACTTGGGAACACCTAACATGAGTGACTTGGAAATGTTGAACACCTCCCCTGAAAATGTGGACACCTTGGTCCAAATTTGAACACCTTGATCCAAATTTTGAACACCTTGGTTTAAATTTTATTACATCTTGCCAAATTTTGAACACCTCAAATTTTTCGCGCTCGCTACGCTAGCGTTTCAAACATCCATCAACGGGGGGGGGGGGGGGGGGGTAGGTACGAAACATTTCAAACGGAATGCGTGACATATCCGTATTTCGGGTGAAAAGTCCGAACGAAATGCGTACGTTTTTCTCGTCGTTCGTATTTTTGCTGTGTAGACGATCTTTTTTAGAAAATTTTCTACAGAAATATTTTTGCTTGACAATTACCAAAATAACTGGCGTGACTACAAATTCTTCAGCAAATGCGTGACAAATACGCAAATTGCGGGACAGTTGACAGGCCTGAAACCAATATAGGGAGTAACTGAGCCCCCCCCCCCTCTGACTTACGCGATTTGATTTACGCGGCAAAAAAAATTGACAATTTTATATTCTCTTTAGTAAGAAAAAAACCGCACCCCCCTTGGAGAAAAGTGTCTTACGGGCCTGCTACGCCATACTAAAAGGCCATTCACAGCATTACATTGCATACTTAGGTGGCTAAACCTGCTTTGCAGTAATCTATAGCATTGACCATTGTTGACTAAGTCAGACATTTCATTAAATTTTGCATGTATTACAACAAAAAGTGCTAAAAAGCAAGTCCGATGTCCTGTTTAAGAACCCCTATTCTTACTTTCAAAAATGGATTCCAGCAATACTATTCAATGTGAATCCACTTGTTGAGACTCAGTCAACGTGCGTTCTTCTGGGAAAATGAGGATTTCAGCAAGGGTGCATTGACTTAACATGGGATACCATCACGCATGTTATTATGGAGATAGATTAAAATCTCGGAAAAACGCAAGTTGATCAAACTAGATTTTTGTGAGATATATTACTAGAACCCATTTTCAAGAGTAAGAATATGGGTCATTAAACAGGACATTAAAGCTTAACTAAGGCCTTTTTGAAATTTTGGGTTAGCACTAATTGCCGTCCGGTGTAAAAGGGTAGAAGGTCCTATCAATTTATGGTCCTACTTTTCATTGATTTATATGGTGACAAATATGGTACGCAATCAGTACCAGTAAGGGCCGTTAAGAAAGGAGACCATAATCCCAGGGGGACAATCATTTCTTGCACACCGGGTCAACGATAGGAACGCCATTTTTAGTGCTAATACATTCTGATAGAAAATCAATACTGCGAGGCATGCATACCATGACATGCAACAGACTATTCTACATAAATAGCTGTGCCAACATTTTAAATGGTGGATAAGAGACCCTTATGAAAAGGAAGATCATACTAGTGATATATAGCAGGTTTGGGCACCCTTTGGCTATGCATGTATAAGTTGCTATGGGGGAGCAGTAACCCCATATTCGCATAAGTATTTTACTCTGGTACCTACCTCTACCACCAGCCTTCAATGTAATAAAATGACTGGCCAAAATGTACTGTTGAGCTGAACTGAAGCACTAAATTGCAACAAACTTCTTCATATTGTAAGCCAGTAACAACTGAGTACGGTTATTTTTAATTTACTGCAAATATGACTGAATTTCAAAAGTTGCATGCAATTTAAAGTTGTAACGTCCCAGGCACACCGAATACAACGTAGTTTGACGTCGCTTAGCCTGTATTAACTCCTGTCTAAGCTCGCCTTGATAAGTCACTAGCATCCTTCTTGCTTGAATTGCTTTCTTCTATTAGAGCAGTTTGTCTAAAGTTGTCTTAGACATACTGCAGAAATATATGAAGTTTATAAACATATTAACAAGACCACTGTACAATTATCCAAACCAACATGCAAGTTAGATATCCCAAACTGTTGCATACTCGATCTCCATTACTCATTCATGAAAAACGAAACTCGATGTGCAATTAAACATCCCATTTCATGGGGCTGCAAAAGTTATATTTGTATTGCAATTATCTCTAAGTCTAAAATCGTCCCAGAGCGTCCACCGTAGCTCATCCGAGCCCCATCGGAGCAACACATCTGAAATCTCAGAGAGCTCTGGATGGAGTTCTGGCCTGGGCTTTGCTACAATGTATAGCCTAGCTCTGGCTATAGCTTGGTATTACTCGGACATGATCAGCCACTTCATCACTTACTATCAAATTCGCCTCTAACATTACATTCTTCCAAATCTGTGACTGGAGCAGTCTCAAAATCATCTTCTGGAAATAAAGTCATATTCGTGTGTATAATCAATATACGTGCTAGTTATACTTGATACTTACTGTCAAAGACTCCTCGCATATCACACTCTTCCAAGGTAGATATATCGGGCGCGTCATCCGGGTCCTCTGCAAATAAATAACGTATCCTATGATTTTCAAGCTATCCGTTTTACCCACAAGTGCATCAATCCATTCACAATAAAGTTGATGATTGTGAAAACACTGATACGCTTTGCTGTGGAGAAAACTGGATATAAAAATTCATCATAAGATAGTTGTAATCATCATGCAAGAAGATGCCCGAATGAACCATAATCAATTATAACGTATTTCACAATTATATCAGCAGAAATATAAACATGTAGTATTCAGGATACGTAGAAAGAAAAAGGAAAATTCATTCACGAAAAGACAAACCACAATAACCAGACCAAATTAAGATCAATCAAACGTACAAAGAATCTGTGTAAATTATTTCTAGATGTGGTATATAGCCCGATACATCGAGTGACATTTATGATAATAACATCATTTTTATCAACGAGATAATTAATTGACATACAGATCATTAGCCTATTTCATCGACGAGGTGATATCAAATGTCAACACGAGTGGGCGAAGCGAATCTACGAGGCGGTGAAACGATTTGATATTGGGTTTATCCCATGGATTCAATGAAACATTCAAAATATTTATATCATATGGATATGTGTCTGATAAACTATATCAGTCGCATATGGGGCTAATCAACGATTTTCTGAAAAATGTCACCCAGATCTCTCTGATATCAGAAATATTACTAAAGGCATAAGATCCTTATCTTATGACTATGCCAATATTATTGGAATGGCAGCATGACTATGCTAATATTATTGGAATGGCAGCATGACTAAGCCAATATTATTGGAATGGCAGCATGACTATGCCAATATTATTGGAATGGCAGCATGACTATGCCAATATTATTGGAATGGCAGCACGACTATGCCAATATTATTGGAATGGCAGCATGACTTTGCCAATATTATTGGAATGGCAGCATGACTATGCCAATATTATTGGAATGGCAGCATACTATTGATATTAGTATAATATAATTCAAATATAATTCAAATATTTTTTTCTGTTGAGGTGAATTCCTGTGCAATTCCTCTTGTGAAAGTTGCATTGAATATTGAACACTGTTTTTCCTCACTCTGAAGATATTCACTGATGTCTTTTTGTTGACTTTTACCGTGTTGAATATCTGAATGGAGATTACCATGAATTCAATCGATGATATAAAAGAACTGTGGCGAATACAAGTCAAGATTCCTAGTCAAGAGTAGGTCATAGACAAATTAGAGGGTGAGGAATATGACAGTGAATAATAATTCTAGCTGTTCCATTATAGTTTAGTGAAATAGAAGTGAAGTTACTAACATTGGTTCTAAATTTGGATAATGCATACTTAACAAAATCGACACTTTTGTCAGAGTGCTAGATTTTCTATTTCTATTAGCCCTGTGATACCTGCTTAGTAAGGAAGAAATATTTATAGTTTAAAGAAAATATGAATGTACGACAACTTCAGGAAAGAAAGAAGAGCTAGCGGGCCAGAATCTGAGCATTTTAAGGCTCTTTATAATTAGAGGAAGTCAGTTTCTGAATTTTAACAGGCCAAAGCTAAAGGAGAACCCTACCGTGACAGGCATAGTCCCCTCCACCGTCTATATTGTTTGGCCACTGGCAGGAACATGTCTCAGGGTCGAAGTTGAGTGGTTTCATGCACCATCTTTCATAGGCTTGGAAGCCGTCATTTGTGGCCTCACATTGGTAATACTTGCATTGATTTCCATCAAATGGAAAATAACCGCCAATACATTGTTCTAAAATCAGAATAAAAGTAATCTTGGATGTTATTAATATCAAAGCTCATATTTCTTCACTGGGATTAAACGAATTACACAGCCATTGTGTCTATGCAAAAATGGCCTGCCTTCCGATAGTAAGTTTTCGTAAGATCTTTTGGTTTTAAACCCATTTTTCGGACATTCCTTCTCCATGATCGTAATCATGCAGTAAGAGCATAATCTCTCGTTTGAAATGATATTATAGATATTCATCTATCATCAACACAAAGCGATGAATTCACAGTGTTAGTCCCCCGTGTTACAAAAATGAGGAACTGAAAGAGCTAACAGGGCGCTTCGTGATGATGCTGGGTGAATCTACTACGTAATTACATTTTTTAATCATGGGCTCTCTTGAAAGCACATGTTTTAATCAAGAAACCATGGGCTAATGTCATGCATACGATGATGGAGAAAATCGTTCAAGGAATTGGTTTAAATGGAGAGAAAATATCTTTCTAAAATCTGCTAATCGCACTCTTTGTGTTGCACAGACACAGTGGCTGTATTTACGCTAAGTGCCAGTTATAAGTGCTTCCGAATGCAGCCGGCGCTATACTGTTTAATATTAGGTTTTTCTCACTTGCATAAGTTCCATGTCGTGTTGAAATGATTAAGGAAATATACACAACCAGCTTGAATACAAGTAAAAATTTTTTTAAATACAATTAAAATTCAGTCGTTGAACATTGTACTTATGTCTTCGAATTCCCATTTAGTTAAAATTGTAATTTCTTCTACCTATTTAGTAAAATTCTAATTAATTTTTCGTGTTTAATTCTACAGATTAGCCTAAACTCACCCTCTGTTGCCGGAACAGCTGCAATGAATGAAATAAAGCACAATTAATCATGTACATGTACACTGTGTTGTGTTCAGAAATGAAAGAAAACTAAAACATAATTTAAATCACTTGCATGTACGTGTGTTGTGTTCAGAAATAAAAGAAATAAAACATAATTAATCAAATGCATGTATGTGTGTAGTGTTCAGGTGGCCAAATATTTTGAGATATTCTAAATGTTGACCGTGTCATACCGTCACTTGATTTCCTAAATTATCGCGAATTTGTTCTTGCGTACAATGTTCATTTGTTTCACTCGATTAATCCGATGCAACCGACGTATTTTCATGAAACGAATGGTCGAGGAGAATGAGAAGCTACCTGAAGATATTGTACTCGTTCAAATGGCGCCAGAATTATGTCAGAACAACATTTAGGAGTTAGGACATAATCATTTCCGCTCCCTGGATTCTCATCTCTCTGGATCAGAGTTTCATGAAATACTTGTTTTATTTGGCATTCCTTTGATAGACAATGCAAGTGGAATACATACTAGTATTTTGTAATTTTGTAAAAAAGCGCAGACACTAGAGGTTTTCGGATAATCGAAATCCCAAGTTTGGCTGATGCGAGCTTGATTAACAAGGTTTTTGCCATAACTACCTTTGAATTCGAAAATGCAATGCGCGATTTTATCCTAGAAACGAAACTTATTAACTACTTTGTAAAGAAGGGCGTACGCAGCAGTAATGCCTTGGTCACATTTGCTCCAATTCTCTACGGCGACCAGCCGATTGAGAATTTTGTTCAAAATTGAATACACTATTGAACAAACACTCAATCGGGCGGGCGCCGGCCGATGGATCGGAGCAAATGTGACCAAGGTATTAGGCTGAATTCTATATCAAAGACAAAACTTTTAGGGATCATTTCTAAAGTATGCTACGCAGGGCATTAGGGAAAATTGACACCGGGTGAGATGAGGATTTACACCTAATAATCTGACGGTTCAGTTTGGTCAAGCCGGAATATTTCAGAGAAAAGAAACACACCGCCTCCCGGAGACTCACACTCACAACCATATGAATATTGAAGTAGGGCTACTATGTAATTTTAATGATTGAATATAGTTAAACCTAGGCTTGTCTACATTTTTTAATAAATCATCATAAGGCCACAACTAATATAAATCATAATACTTCCTTGTTTGGAAGGGATTTAAAGCAACTATTGGTATATTGCGACTCCGAATTTGTAATTTAGTTTTTCAACTTTTCAACTAGATATGCTAATTTGTTAGGTCGTCTAAAACGTTAAAATGCAATTTTTGAAACTGGGATTTGAATTTGATGTAATGTACTTACGTTCTATTGTTTCATAATCGACAAAGGCGTTCGCCACCGACAGTGTTGCCACTAACGCCAAAAGGTGGCACCGCATGATTCTCCTGCAATGTAAGGGACTAAGTTATCGGAAAATATTAACATGAATACAGAAACTACATGCCAATTGTACCTAGAATGGCCAAATACTAATCAGTTCTAAAGTTTTATACATTTAAACATTCCTGAAAATTTCAGTTGAATCCTTGAAATGATTTCGCTGGAAACCTGTAGACAAGCCTCGACAGACAACATTTTAGGACGGAATATTTCAGATGAACCCCTCAAACGGTTTGGTTGGAAGGCTATAGACAAGATGATCGGGACGCCCGCCCAGCAAACTGATCACAATAAAGCACCCAAGGGTGCCATTAAAACTTCATGAGATTTATCGAATGTTAAGAATATGAAAAGTTGACTCAATTAACCCTAACTGTTCTTTCAAAAACGCCATATTATTGCGTGAAATGTTTTGTAAACATTATTGCTTGGCCTTAAAGGGGTTTTAACCCAACAATCAGAAAGAAAATGCTCACATCTTGGGTCGGTGATATTAAAATGCCGGGGTTAAAAGGTGTTATACGATTTTCAAGAGATTCTAAAAATTAGGTAGCATAAGTAAAGAGAGATTCAAAGTATTTTCTCCCATTGTGGCATTGTTTGATGTAAAACTCGTAGAGTTGTTATTTGAATATAAGTATCTTCATAATGTAAAAACAAAAAATGTCATGGACGTTGACAGTAAGTGGAATAGGTATCCATGGAAGATTAAAGCAATACCAATGATGTCCATTTTAAGTCGATGATGAACTTTCCGTATGCCACGTGAATAGTCAAAACACTTTGTATTCCAACATATTTTATTTGGACATTTTTTTATCCTCCCTTTACTCGAAGCACGTTCCTGTTTTTGTGCATTTTCATGTATTTATTGTTATTGTAATTAACACTACATATTTCCATTCTGATTTAGGCTCATAATATTATCCCCTCTTACCTGTTTTATGATTTCCTTGTTCAAAGTTTTCGTTAACCCAGAAGTTGTAAATTTACCAATCCAGCAAATGATGACAAGTTAAAACCCCAGAGCTATGAAAGTCATTAATCTTTTATGACATAATTGCTATATATGCTTCTCTTTCGCGTTATTGTATGTTATTTGTAGTCATTCATACAGTACAGTTTTACGAGACTCAAGTGTTTTTTTTAGAATAAATGACCGAACCCCCACATGTAACATAGTTATTGAGCTCGTTTTGAAAGATAGAGCGGCAGTTTTAACATTATCTTGGCAAATAAATTCAGAATAAATTCTCTACTGTAAAAATTGTATTAGATGCTATCATACATATCGTTGAAATCGATGATTTCACGCGCTCGTCGCAAGATTTGCGTTTGCGTCTGCGTTGCGTTTGCGTATCGACAATTTGTGCAAACGCAACTCCTGAGTTGCGTCTTATCCAGCCACCCTACACATAGAGCGCGAGTAAATTACTACGCTGGCTGCATTTGAAGAGACTATCTGGCTATTTCTCAACTTCTTTCTCATGGTTTACTTTTTGGAAGAAACTACTGACTTATTTAAGATATTAATGTATCTTATATGGGTGGCAAACCATATAGCATACTCTTAATTGAAGAAATATGACAAAAATATAGGAAAGTATGCCCACATAATGAATAAAATACGATGTAAAGTCGATAATTGAGAAAGTTACCGCGAAGTTTCCACTAAAGAATCTCAATATCCTCATATTATCACGTTAACTGAAGTATTATGAGAGTAGTATATACATTCCTAACATATTTTGCATCATTGATGTTATTTTGAAGAATTTTACCATTATTTTTCCTGAGGAAATCCCGAGATCAAATTTTTGGATGAGAGGACTACGCGTGTCAATATCAACCTCTTGGGATTAACACTACAACTTGAAAGATGCGATAGACTGCTCGATCAGATATCGACCACTGATCCAGTGCTCATGTGTATCAAAAGCACATAGACTGTGGAATAACTCACTATAATATCAATTTGTTATAAAATTTCGAACTTTTATCAGTGGCGTAGCGTGGGTATTTTATGAGTGTACACCACGAGTGAGAGAAGCGAACGAGCTTTGAGGGGGGGGGGTTCTTTCCCTCAAGAAAATTTGAAAAAAATAGATTGCATTTGAAGCGTTCTGGGGCGTTTTAAAATTAACGTGGGTCATTTCAATATCAAAAATTCACTTTTTTCTAAACTTTGAGAGTACGCTATGGCGTTTTATGCGTATATGACGCTACGCCACTGTTTATACTGGGAGGGTAGCATTAATTTTGATCTTGAGCAGTGTTTGATATGTCGTGCAATTTTACCAATAAATATTTGGTTGCAATGTAGGCCTATATCCAAAGAAAGTTACTTATGTGCATTAAATATATACTGTACAAGTGTCGAACTCTGTAAACAATTTTTGCACAGGTAATTAACATTTTAAACAATAATGACCTTTTTTCAAGTGTAACTCTTTACTTTGGCCATGACCTTGGACCTTCAGATGACAGTGATACTATATACACCTAAACGGATTATTTTGCTGTACCATACATGATATTAAGCGACTTATTTCCAAAGAGATATCCTGGCTATACATACATGTACGGTATAGGGTTTGTCACTTGTGTGCATAAAAAATATGAATGGATATTGCATTTGTCTCTTAAGCTTAGTGCCACAACTGTTGACGATGGAAGGATGGACGGACAGACGGATGTCACTTAATAATCTGCTGCTTCTTTCCAGCTGGACGGACGGACTGATGGAGAATTCAATACGTTCACACAGCTAAAAATGATGTAAACTGACATGCTTTATTTCCCAAACTTTTCCAAGGGGACTCTAACACTTAAATTAAAGTTCCTAAAAATCCTCAAATACTGAGTAAGTTTGCAATAATCATTGGTCAAAGGGACTTCTATCAAGTCCCTACATATGGGCCTGGCAATAGTTGGATGACCAGTTAATGAAAGCACTAGCATAGTACTGTACCCCCACTGAAGACACAAATCCATATATTGTTTCTCAACCAGTATGTAAGTACTAGGTAGAGTTGAGGAGGTCCTTGGTGGAAGTAAAGCTCATAGCTACATGTATTCAAAATTTCATTGGGGTTGAATTTTGAATTTTTGAACATTTCATTTTATTACTATTAATTACACTTATTGTCATATATTCATCGCTATCAATAATTATTCTTTTATTTGCGTTTGTCACTGCACTTGGTATAATTCTGGAGAAATTTATTGTTGTTATTCTTATATTGTTATTGATCCTGCTAATTTTTCTGAGCTTTAATTCATCATCTGGCCTGGGTGTATTTCAAGTAGGTGATGAATCGTATCTGTAAATTTCTTACATCTCCTGTTTGTGTTGCAATAGTAACATTCGAATCCTAGTCTGAAATAAAATGAAAACATTTTAGTATGCATTAGAATCATAAAATACTCACCCGCCGTAGTCCTCTCCTAAATTTTCGGCAGAGTTCTACTTAGGACTCGTACTGTAACAAATTCGGGCTATTATAGGATCTAATGACATGCATAGATGGTGGATGGGGTCATCATCGTTCAATTGTCAGCTTACCTGGATAATTGGTAGCTTAGAAGTTGATCGAGAGGAAGAAATAAATGGAAATAATTTGGCGTTTTTTGGGAATTTGTTTTTATCTCAGCAGCACATGCCAATCGGTCGGCGTTTTATAGTAAGCTGTCAAACATAGGTACTTTGAATATCATTCTTTTAAGAAATTCAATAATCGCTGGTATACAGCTTGAAAAACAATCAAAATGTTGGAAAGAAAACTTACCTCTCTTCAGCCATGTTTGAAATAGCCAGATAGTCTCTTCAAATGCAGCCAGCGTAGTAATATTGCGCGCGCTCTATGTGTAGGGTGTCAGCGCTCGTCCTTTTACAAGTAACAATTCGAAGACAATGGAGAGGTTAAGCTTTGCATATATAATCGAAACTGAACCTGTACGTATCACTCGACCATATACAAATTCATGTAGCCTTCTCATATAAATAGCCGTTCAAATCCAGTGTTTGTTTAGACTACACCATAGCGTGTAATGATTCTATAGTATGTCATTGATGCGGTTTTATAGCTGGTTTTCTAATACATATTTTAAACGAGCTCGTTTCGTAAGATTTTTGGCGCTAAATCATGCATGTTCATTTTGCCACTCTTTGATTATTGTGATATTCTTTACGGATGTGCAAATTTGACAAAACTACAACTTTTAGACCGCCTTTACTATAAAGCTGCACTTATTTGTTCAGGTGCCATGCATGGAACATCAACCACAAAAGTGTTGAATACTTTAAATTGGCCCACACTCTCAACTAGACGTCAATATCATAGAGCTACCTTTATGTATAGAGCTCACAACAACTTGCTGCCTTCTTATGTTACTGAGATATTTGAACCACTAAAAAGAAATCAAACACATGTACTAAGACACCAACTTGACTATATTTTACCAGTTAAATCCAAATTTTATGAAAGATCTTGTATCTCAAAAACAATATCAGAATGGAATCTACTGCCATCTGATATAAAGAACTCATCTAGCTTAAGCATATTTAAATTCAATTAATTCAATTCAATTCAATTCAATTATTTATTTCATAATTCTTATATAATATACACTATAAAAACAAGCCGCTAGACACCCTAGTGGGTATATGTTGCGGTTTAACAGAAATCATTAAAATGACAACTAGACTACATATAAAAGAAAACACTTATATTATGTTACATGTAGGTATATAAAAATGGTATTAACAATTAATCTAAGGATGTACAATGTAAAAAATGTTACAAAAATCGGGTACCAGTATAAAATCAACAGTATAGTATGATATTGGTATTATACATTATCGATAGATGAGTAGTTTTTTATATGAAGATTTGAAAATATTTAGAGTGGAGCATTTTTTAATATCATGTGGTAGAGCATTCCAAAGATTAGGACCCAGATAGCGAAGGGAAAGTTTAGAGCATTTAGGGATATGAAAATAATGCAATTGTCTTGTGTAATGATGATGAATATTAATGTTGATATCAAACAAGTCTTGAAATAGATTTTTTGGAAGACTGGGGTGCTTATTAAAGATTTTGTACATGAACTGACCAGTACAATATCTGTTGACATCAAAAATATTTAATATTCTAAGATCTTTAAATAGGGGAGCGGAGTGAGAAAGTCTATCCTTATTTAAAGCTAGCCTTAAGAATTGTTTCTGCAGTTTATGTAGACGATCATGAAATGATTTAAATGTGTTACCCCAGATTATGTTGCAATAATTTAATTGAGAGTGTATCAATGAGTAGTAAATTGTTTTGAAACTGTCTATTTGAAGTAGATGTTTAATGTGATAAAGAGAACCAATGACGCGAGAAATCTTTGTTTCAACAGATTTTATGTGCTCTTTAAATTTCAAGTTTTTATCAATAATAATTCCAAGAAAGTCAATTTTTTCCCGGAAATTTATGTTCTCATTGCGTATTTTAAGATTCAGATTTGTTTGATTTTTTTGGGGTCCAAATAGAATAGCATTGGTTTTGCCAATATTAAGTGAAAGTTTGTTTGCTTTTATCCAGTCATCCAATAATATCAAGTTTGCATTAGTTCTAGTCATGAGTTCATTTAAATCATAATCACTATCAAGAAGATTGGTGTCATCAGCAAACATAATAAATTTTAGATTAGGGGCAACAAAAGGCAGATCATTTATGTAAAGAATAAATAATAGTGGTCCAAGTACCGAGCCCTGCGGAACACCACAATTTAGAGATGATTGTTTAGATTCATAATTGTTAATGGTGACATATTGTTTGCGGTCTTTTAAATAACTTTCAAACCAGGACTTAGCTATTCCTCTGATGCCATAATATTCAAGTTTTTGTATCAAAATGTCATGATTAATTGTGTCAAAGGCCTTGGAAAAATCTAATGTTATGCCAATGCTTGTTTTCCCCAAATCAGTTGATTTTCGAATTTGTTCAATGAAATATAAAATGGCCA